ATCACATCCACCTAGTTCCCTTGCCAACCAATTGCTATTGCTAATTTAACTTTTAGGAACTACTGCCATCTTGCGGAACTTTGAGGTTTTGCCACCCCAGAATTTCCTAGCGGCTCTGTTCTATTATGTAGCATAGTGAACACAAAATGAGTCACTTTTTTTTTTTTTTTTTAAGATGGGATCTTGCTATGTTGCCCAGGCTGGTCTCCAACTCCTAGGCTCAAGTGATCTTCCCACCTCAGACTCCTCAGTAGCTAGGACTATAGGAGCACACTACCACACTGCCCGGGTCTGGTTGCATTTTACTTGTCTAGCTATCATCTCCTTCCTGTTGGCTATTTGGAAATCTCTGATGGGATCTTTGACAGAAAAAGTCTACTCCTTCAGACCTTAGTTTCACTGTACGCCCATATGCCACATAAGACAGTTCTGGGAAGGTCTGGAATGTGTGGATAAAGGTGATGGCAGTGGCTGCTCCCATCATGCTGGCTGCAACAGGGAGGCACTGCTTGGGCTACACACCCCATGGAGCTGGTGGATGCTCCCCACCTTCTGAGTTGAAGTGGGAGTTCCTCGGGTACTGTTGCAGCTGCCCAAACCCAGCCACCCAGACTGCAGCTGTAGATCTCAGCCTCCCTGTGCTCTTGGATGAGGGCCAGGAGCAGACAGGATCTGCCTTCCTGGGTGTGGCTGCAGCCACCCTTCTAGGTGCAGGACGCGGACCTCTCTGCAGCCTGCACCCTGAGGGTCCCAGGAAGGACCTACTACGACCTCATCCCTGCATGCTTGGGGGTGTTTGCTCCTACTGCCTGGCCTCTCTCCATTCCTGGCAACTGCTCTGATCTTGGAGCAGCATGGAGGCCAAATCCTAGGGCCTTGAATGGCAGCGGGAGGCAGACAGAGTCCTGGGAGGAAGGGGGCAGGTCCCCAGTAAGTCCCTACCTTCAGGCCAGGGAAGGCCTGAAGGCTGGGGGTGGGGCTTCCAGTCCTGCAAACTGGAGTGGGGACTTGTGGTGCTTCCTCCAGGTGCCTATGGATCGATCAGCAGCCACTTCCTCCCCTCTGAGGTCCATAAAAGCCCTGGGCTTAGCCAGAGCAGGGCAGAGGATGGCCAGAGGACTAAGAGGGCTGAGAAGTGATGAGATGACCAGCTGCAGAGAGGAGTACTCTCTGGAGAAAATGGGATGGCCAGCTGCAGAGAGGAGCTACCTTTTCCACTGAGAGCTGCAGAGACAACCTGCTGGCAGAGAGGAGCCACCCTCTCCAGGGCCTCCTCTCTACTGAGAACTAAGCAGTGAACAGACAACCTGCCTACAGAATGGAGCTACCTACTGAGGGCCTCCTCTGAGCTGTTCTAACACTAAATAAAGCTCTTTTCCGTCTTGTTCACCCTTCACTTGTCTGTGTACCTCATTCTTCCTGGATGGAGGCCAGAACTCAGGCAAAGATGCTGCAGCCATAGAGGTTTTTCATGGCCAGAAAATTGACAACCCAAAGATTTTGTACCAAAGGTATGGCGCAAAGTGGGGGTAAAGGAGTCCTGGAGGTTGGGGGTGTCAAATCTAGAGGACCTGCTACTTCAAGACCTTCTGAAGGACCCTCATTGGTTGGGGTGGAGGTTTCAGCACTCCGAGCTCTTCTCTAGCCAATATGTTCCTTCCTCCTTCCCCATTGCTTATGGCAATCCTTTAGTACAGGAGTCATTGTTCTTAAAGTCTATCTGAATAGAAGGTGGGGAACTTGGACCAGAGACTGGATGTAAAGAAAAGCCAAACACTGCTACCACTACACGCTCCTAAGGTGGAACTAAAGCAGTCGCTGACATCCACCTCTACAAAAGGCCATGAGGGTTTTGATTGGCTCTTCATGTGGACTCAGTAGACTGCAACCAATCAGGAAAGAGATTGTAAGATGTGTTTGTTCTACCACGATCAACATGCCCTCAGTAATTGATTGTGTAGAAGCAAGTAGAAAATGCTGAATACAAACATTTTCCCTGCGTACCATCTCCCTTCTGTAACCTGATTCAAATATTTCCCTGGACCACTAGGATAGAAGTTTCGGTTTTACTTCCTGGGCCTGTATTCTGCTTTTACCTTCCAGGCCTAGATCAAATACCACTCCCTCTAAGGAATGCCTGACTGGATTGTCCCTTGTAGCACCGAGGTGAAGCCTCCCTGCGGCATCGCCACCCCCTGCCCACACTTAACAGATGCTACATGATGTCATACTGACATTCGGGCAACGGTAGCCCGGGGATCAAGAGCAAGGGGTTTGGAGTCAGAGAGACTCGTGTTTGAGCCCTGAATACCTGTTTGTAGCTTTGAGATGGTGGCAAGATTCCTTGCTTCTCTGAATCTGGGTTTCCTCATCTATTGAATGTGGATAATAATGCCAGCTGAGGCTGGGAGTTGTTATGAGTTCATCAGGGAAGGAGGAGTTGAGAAATGGTAGTACCAGTCATCATAGTTATTATGGAAAGCAGGCACTATGTTTTACTCACCTTGCTTTCCAATTGTGCCCAATTCAGAGCTTTGAATTGCCTGCTAAATATTTAATATTATTGAGTCAAAGTTGAAAGAGTTAACATATTTTATGAACAGGGTGAGAGAGTGATAGTTTCATTACATTGCCTCCCTAAATGGCCCAAGAAATGAATTTTTTTTTTTTTGAGACAGTCTCACTCACTCTGCCCCCAGGCTAGAGTGCAATGGCACAATCTTGGCCCACTGCAACCTCTGTCTCCCCAGTTCAAGCGATTCTCCTGCCTCAGCCTCCCGAGCAGCTGAAATTACAGGAGTCCGCCACCGTCTAATTTTTGTATTTCACCATGTTGGCCAGGCTGGTCTCGAACTCTTGACCTCAAGTGATCTGCCCGCCTCGGCCTCCCAAAGTGCTGAGATTACAGGTGTGCACCACACCCCCGCCAGAAATGAAATATTTATAATAAAACAACTAAATAGAAGACCAAGACTTATGGCTCGTCTTTCTTTTTAAATTATTTTCCAGAAAATAATATTTATAGTTTAATTCAAAGTAACTGCAAGCTGGAAACCACAGGGGGAGCCCCAGGCTGGGCCAAATAATGACTAGCCTGGGCCCAACAGAACAGGCAGAGAAGGTGGTCCTTACATGCTTTATGGTCAGTTGGGGCCCCCTCCTCACTCTGCTGCAGCATTCTAGGGGCAGGGCCCCACCCTGCCTGAGACTGGGGTAGTGAGTAACCCAGCCTGCTGCACCCGGGCCCCCCTTTCCCAAGAAGAGTTTTTTTTTTTTTTTAGACAGAGTCTTTCTCTGTTGCCTAGGCTGGAGCGCAATGGCATGATTTTGGCTCACTGCAGCCTCTGCCTCCTAGGTTCAAGTGATTCTCCAGCCTCAGCCTCCTGAGTATCTGGGATTACAGGCATGTGCCACCATGCCTGGCAAATTTTATGTTTTTGGTAGAAATGGGGTTTCACCATGGTGGCCAGGCTGGTCTCAAACTCCTAACCTCAAGCCATCAGCCCACCTCAACCTCCCAAAGTGCTGGGATTACAGGTGTGAGCCACTGTGCCTGACCAGAACTTGTCTTTCATGGAAGTTCTCCGAATGATGCCTAGGACATGGAAAGGACTTTTTAATACATTTGCTAATCAAAGCATCATAATCTTGCTTTTTCCCCCAGAGATAAAACATCTTTCTAAGACTCTGTACGTCTTTCCAGAGTTCTGCACATTTGAGGTAGCTTAATTATAGTGTAGTGACTTTGAGCCAAACTTGCTGGTTTAAATCTTGGCCCTCCCAGTAGCTCACTGTGTGACCTTGGGAAAATTACTTAACCTTTCTGTGTTGTAGTTTTCACATGTTAGAGCAGGAGTCATAGTAATAGTATTTTATCTTGGGGTGTTGTTGGGATGGTGAAATGAGTAAAAATTTGTAAATACCCTATGGCACATGGTAGTTACAATAGAAGTGTGCAGTATTAGGCCAGGCACGATGGCTGACACCTGTAATCCCAGCACTTTGGGAGGCCGAGGCAGGTAGATCACAAGGTCAAGAGATTGAGACCATCCTGGCCAACATGGTGAAACCCTGACTCTACTAAAAAATACAAAAATTAGCTGGGTGTGATGGCACGCACCTGTAGTCTCAGCTGCTCAGGAGGCTGAGGCAGGAGAATCACTTGAACCCAGAGGCAGAGGTTGCAGTGAGTTGAGATCACACCCCAGTCTGGTGATAGAGCAAGACTCCATCTCAAAAAAAGAAAAAAAGAAAAAAAAGCAAGTGTTCAGTATTGTTTTATTAGAAATAATGTCTTCAAAGTCTCTTTTTTTCTGGTTTGAATGTGCTGTGAGAACATGCACTGTCAGTTTTGTCTACCATTAATTGGTTGAGTCTCTTGCAGATACCTCCAAATGGGCTTGTAATTCACCATCCCCACTTTTCTTTTTTTTCCCCTTTTCTTTTTATTTCTTAATTTCTCCCACAAAGACTGAAAGTGAATCCCCACTTTTCTTTTATCATTTAAAAATTTTATTTATTGGCTGAGTGTGGTGGCTCATGGCTGTAATCCCAGCACTTTGGGAGGCTGTAGTGGGTGGATCACGAGGTCAGGAGTTCGAGATCAGCCTGGCCAGCATGGTGAAACCCTATCTCTACTAAAATACAAAAAAATTAGCCTGGCATAGTGGCGTGTGCCTGTAATCCCAGCTACCTGGGAGGGTAAGGCAGGAGAATTGCTTGAACCCAGGAGGCAGAGGTTGCAGTGAGTGTAGATTGCACGATTGCACTCCAGCCCGGGTGACAGAGCAAGACTCAGTCTCAAAAAAAAAAAAAAATTATTTGTTTATTTGCATGTGGACTAAGGAAAGGGTTAACTTGACTTTATTTGAAAAGTTAAGTGTTTGGGGAAGGAGATGATTAGAAAAATAGATGCTTCCCATTTTTTTCTTTTCTTTTTTTTTTGTTTTGTTTTTATTCTTTTCCCACCAACTATAGATAGATTCCCTTTTTGACTTAACAAGAAAATGGAGATCCTAAGGAAAGCCTGGAGGACTTCATGGCTTCCGTGGGTTCATTTCTAGGAAGATTTCGCTTTACATGGGGAAACCCCAAGCTCTACAGTGAGAAAGTTGTAAATTAGCCTTTAGGAGACGCTGTTTGTCAGTTATCTTAAGCCTGGAAAAGGGGAGGGAAAAAGCCAAATAAGCAGTGACGACATTGGCAGGAAATCAGTATCAGGCTACCCAGCCCAGTAGGATCCAGTTTTCACTTCAACAGCCAGCAAGTCTTGAAGTCTCTTCCCGCGAAATTGGGAGCTTCCTTGGACCTTGGAGCACATAGAGGATTCTACTTTCTTTAAAATTTTGTTTTCAGGCAATTTCCCTGAGAATCGTTTACCTCCAGAGGATTGGTGGAGCCTGATCTGAAGGTATGTAATTAAATACCACAGAGTCTCATGCTTGGATCTTTTCCTTTGCTTCATGGCTTCATGTTGTAGAAACTTGCAAAAACTTGTCAGCAATGGTATTATTTCTGCTTAGATTTCTTTGCCATGCCTGGGAAAACAAAAGTTCAAAAATCCAGAAGCCTCCAACATAGCCTTTTACCGGCAGAAATATGTTAGTTCCCGGAGACAAAGTGTGGCAGACTCATTAAAACTAGAAATTGGAATTGTCAAGAAACCACAAGGCAAATGTAAGATGTGGTAGAATAGAAACAGGTCCAGGAAACCACTCATTTGACCTCAGGGCTAGCAGCAGGGAAGATCCCCTGGATCATCACATTTAAAATGACATTTTTTGTTTCTTTTTTTTGAGACAGAGTTTTGCTCTACCTCCCGGGTTCAAGTGATTCTCCTGCCTCAGCCTCCCAAGTAGCTGGGATTACAGGCATGCACTGCCATGCACCGCTAATTTTTGTATTTTTAGTAGCGACGAGGTTTCACTATGTTGATCAGGCTGGTCTTGAACTCCTGACCTCAGGTGATCTGCCCACCTCGGCCTCCCAAAGTGCTGGGATTACAGGCGTGAGCCACCATTTTTTGTTTCTTTTAACACTGAAATTAATGTGTATGTTCATGTATAAATAAAATTTGAGAAATTCAGTTGAAAGCCCAGGAGAAAATTTGTATTATCTCTAGTTATGCCATCTCGATATAACTACTCCTTATTATGGAGGTTTTGATTTTTGCTATGTGTTTCTTCCTTCTTTCCTTCATTTATTTATTTAATTGAGACGGAGTCTCGTTCTTTCACCAGGCTGGAGTACAGTGGCACAATCTTGGCTCACTGCAACTTCCGTCTCCCAGATTCAAGCAATCCTCTCACCTCAGCTTCCTAAATAGCTGGGACCACAGGCACCACCACACCTGGCTAATTTTTGTATTTTTTAAGAGACAGGGTTTCACCATGTTTCCCAGGCTTGTCCTAAACTCCTGGCCTCAAGTGATCCACCTGCCTTGGCCTCATGAAGTGCTCCTCTGATTATAATGAAATTTAGTACAGAGAATACAGTAGTTTATAAACTAGTCAGATGGAAACATTGACTCATGTAATTTTCAACTTCCTACATTGATTTGAGCAACTCTTGTCTAAAACCATTCTTTCCTTCTGAGGTCTAGCAGTTTTTTTGTTTGTTTGTTTGTTTGTTTGTTTTTTGAGACAGGGTCTCCCTTTGTCACCCAGGGTGGAGTGCAGTGGCATGATCATGGCTCACTGGACCCTCCACCCCCAGGGCTCAAATGATCCTTCTGCCTCAGCCTCCTGAGTAGTTGGGACCACAGGTGTGCACCACCATGCCTGGCTAATTTTTGTATTTATTGTAGAGACAGGGTTTTACCATGTTGCCCAGTCTGATCCCGAACTCCTGGCTGGGGTTATAGGTGTGAGCCACTGCACACTGCCTGTTCCTTCCTTTAGAAAGTAGTTTCCTGTTTCTAAAAATAGCGAAGTTCTGCATAATGACTATATACCTCAAGTGCTTATAGAATAAATAATATTACAATGAAAATGTTATCACTGCATTGCTCCTCTGATTATAATGAAGTTTAGTATAGAGGATACTGTAGTTTATAAACTTGTCAGATGGAAACATTTATTTACGTAATTTTTTTTTTTTTTTTTTTTTTTAGTAAAAACAAATGTATTAGATAAGTAAACAAAAGAATGGCTACTCCATAGACAGAGCAGCCGACCCATGAAATTTTTTTTTTTATTTTTTATTTTTTATTGGATTTTAGGTTTTGGGGTACATGAGCAGAGCATGCAAGAAAGTTGCATAGGAATACACATGGCAGTGTGCTTTTCTTTCCTTCTCCCCTTCACCCACATTTGGCATTTCTCCCCAGGCTATCCGTCCCCACCTCCCCCTCCCACTGGCCCTCCCCTTTTCCCCCCAATAGACCCCAGTGTTTAGTACTCCCCTTTCTGTGTCCATGTGTTCTCATTTTTCATCACCCGCCTATGAGTGAGAATATGCGGTGTTTCATTTTCTGTTCTTGTGTCAGTTTGCTGAGGATGACGTTCTCCAGATTCATCCATGTCCCTACAAACGACACGAACTCATCATTTCTGATTGCTGCATAATATTCCATGGTGTGTATGTGCCACATTTTTCCAATCCAGTCTATTATCAATGGGCATTTTGGTTGATTCCAGGTCTTTGCTATTGTAAACAGTGCTGCAATGAACATTCGTGTACATGTGTCCTTATAGTAGAACAATTTATAGCCTTTTGGATATATACCCAGTAATGGGATTACTGGATCAAATGGAATTTCTATTTCTAAGGCCTTGAGGAATCGCCACACTGTCTTCCACAATGGTTGAACTAATTTACACTCCCACCAACAGTGTAAAAGTGTTCCTTTTTCTCCACATCCTCTCCAGCATCTGTTGTCTCCAGATTTTTTAATGATCGCCATTCTAACTGGCGTGAGATGGTATCTCAATGTGGTTTTGATTTGCATCTCTCTGATGACCAGTGACGATGAGCATTTTTTCATATGATTGTTGGCCTCATATATGTCTTCTTTCGTAAAGTGTCTGTTCATATCCTTTGCCCACTTTTGAATGGGCTTGTTTGTTTTTTTCCTGTAAATCCGTTTGAGTTCTTTGTAAATTCTGGATATCAGCCCTTTGTCAGATGGGTAAACTGCAAAAATTTTTTCCCATTCTGTTGGTTGCCGATCCACTCTAGTGACTGTTTCTTTTGCCGTGCAGAAGCTGTGGAGTTTCATTAGGTCCCATTTGTCTATTTTGGCTTTTGTTGCCAATGCTTTTGGTGTTTTGTTCATGAAGTCCTTGCCTACTCCTATGTCCTGGATAGTTTTGCCTAGATTTCCTTCTAGGGTTTTTATGGTGCCAGGTCTTATGTTTAAGTCTTTAATCCATCTGGAGTTAATTTTAGTGTAAGGTGTCAGGAAGGGGTCCAGTTTCTGCTTTCTGCACATGGCTAGCCAGTTTTCCCAACACCATTTGTTAAACAGGGAATCCTTTCCCCGTTGCTTGTTTTTGTCAGGTTTATCAAAGACTGTATAGTTGTAGATATGTTGTGTTGCCTCCGGTGCCTCTGTTTTGTTCCATTGGTCTATATCTCTGTTTTGGTACCAGTACCATGCTGTTTTGATTACTGTAGCCTTGTAGTATAGTTTGAAATCCGGTAGTGTGATGCCCCCCGCTGTGTTCTTTTTGCTTAGAATTGACTTGGCTATGCGGGCTCTCTTTTGACCCATGAAATTTTTAACTTCCTGCACTGATTTGAAAAACTCTTGTCTAAAACCACCCATTCCTTCTGAGGTCTAGGATTTTTTTTTTTTTTTTTTTTTTTGGATAAGGTCTCACTGTCATCCAGGGTGGAGTGCAGTGGCACAATCATGGCTCATTGCAACTTCTGCCCACCAGGCTCACATGATCCTTCCACCTTGGTCTCCTGAGTTGGGACCACAGGCATGTACCACCATGCCCTGCTAATTTTTTGTATTCTTAGCGGAGACCAGGTCTTGCCATGTTGCTCAGGCTTGAAGTCTAGATTCTGCCTTCCTTTTCTGTAAGATAGAGGCCTGTCCGCTTACAGGTAGCAGTCTGAAGTGAAGATGTAACTCACATCCCTCATGGTACCTCGCTGTCTTTGTGTTGATAGATAATTCAAAAGGATAAACCTGCCTCCCCTAGGTTGCTTGGTTTCTAAAACTTTTCTTTTTTTCTGAGACAGAGTTTCACTCCTGTCATTCAGGCTGGAGTGCAATGGCATGATCTCGGCTCATTGCAACCTCTGTCTCCCGGGTTCAAGCGATTCTCCTGCCTCAGCCTCCTGAGTAGCTGGGATTACAGGCGCCAGCCACTACACCCGGTGAATATTGTATTTTTAGTAGAGATGGGATTTCTCCATGTTGGTCAGGCTGGTCTCAAACTCCTGACCTCAGGTGATCCGCCTGCCTCAGTCTCCCAAAGTACTGGGATTACAGGCTGAAGCCACTGCGCCCAGTCTCTGTTTCTAAAACTTAAAGCATAGATCCAAGTGCTGTTTCTGCCACTTGGTGGAGATGAACGTAATGGCTCTAATCAGGCTACCAGGCTTGAAAGAAATAGTACTGTGTCCCTCCATCTTAACTTTCTCCCTCTGGGCACATTTTGATTTGGGAGAAATCAAAGTGAATTAAGTTTCAATATAAACTTCCTCCAAGCTTCCTAAAAAGTAACTTGCAAGTGTTGGGGCAAAGTTTTCTGGGTTGTTGGTTTTTGAAGTAGCCTCAAAGTAATTTTTATTTTTCAGCACCTCTCGGAAAGTCTAATGCCCACAACAGAGGAGGCTGTGATGAGGGGAGGGCCTGGGAAGTCAGGGTGCCATATGTCCTCACTGTCTAACAGAGTGGTGCCCTGCCTCACCTCTCTGTCTCTTTCAGCCTGGACATGAGTTCTCAAGGTCCACATTCAGATAAAAACTGTAAAGGGAGCTTTCGTGAGAAACTTCTGATTATTGGTTCGAACCTGGGAGTCGAAGATGTGGAGCACCTCAAGTTTCTCTGCAGAGACTTGGTCACCCACAAGAAGCTGGAGAAGTCCAGCTCAGCCTCAGATGTTTTCGAACATCTCTTGGCAGAGGATCTGCTGAGTGAGAGCAGCCCCTTCTTCCTGGCTGAACTCCTCTATATCATAGGGCAGAAGAAACTGCTGCAGTACCTCAACTACACCAAAGAGAAAGTGGAGCATTTGCTGCCCACCCAAAGAAGGGTCTCTCTGTTCAGGTGAGGACGCGTCTGTGATGAAGATGGGAGGATCTCCCATCTAGTGTTCATTCTGGCCATTGGGCTTTGAAAGGAAGCTGCAGTTAAGATCTTTTGGTGGCCAGGTAAGGTGGCTCACACTTGTATTCCCAGCACTTTGGGAGGCTGAGGTGGGCGGATCACGAGGTCAATAGATCAAGACCATCCTGGCCAACATGGTGAAATCCTGTCTCTACTAAAAATACAAAACTTAGCTAGGTGTGGTGGCATGTGCCTGTAGTCCCAGCTACTTGGGAGGCTGAGGCAGGAGAATCACTTGATCCTCCAGGAGGCGAGGTTGCAGTGAGCCAAGATTGCACCACTGCACTCCAGCCTGGCAACAGTGTGAGACTCTGTCTCAAAAATAAATCTTTTGGTTATCTATCTTTTTGGATGATAAACCAGGAGGCTCTAAATCTTTTTCTCAGCCTCTGATGCTAATGAGATGAGAGGTGGGAGGTCAGCAAAGCTTCAAGCCCAAGCTCTGGGCCTGGAGGTGGCTTCCCTTTGTTTTGCTTCTCACTAGCAGTGAAGTCCACCTCAGTGTGGCCAAGCCTGCATTTTCCCTGGTTACCAGCCGCCACACGTGTAGATCTTCTCCCTCCTGGGATCCTCTGCTCTGTCTACCTCTTTCCCGGGGCCTTGAGAAGAGAGTAAGGCATATTTGGAGTGAAATAAGCAAGATAAAAAAAAAAGAGATGTGTTTCTGGGGTAGGGAGGGATGTCATTTATGCCATGTCTAGTTATAGATATTTATATATTTTTAGGTGGAAATCCAGAGACGTAAAAATAGGCATTTTGCCCAAAGAGGTAAAATTAAGGCATTGGCCTTATCATGGATGACAGCGTTTTATTTTTATTATGAGACAGAGTCTCGCTCTGTCACCCAGGATGAAGTGAAATGGCATGATCTCAGCTCACTGCAAACTTTGCTTCCCGGGTTCAAGCGATTCTCCTGCCTCAGTCTCCTGAGTAGCTGGGACTATAGGCACCCACCACCACACCCGGCTAATTTTTATATTTTTAGTAGAAAAGGGGTTTCCAACATGTTGGGCAGGCTGGTCTGGAACTCCTGGCCTCAAGTGATCTAGGCACCTCAGCCTCCCAAAGTGCTGGGATTACAGGCGTAAGCCACTGTGCCTGGCCAATGACAGTGTTTAAAATTGTTCACTGACATAGTGTCCAGATCAGAGAACCTCACGAAGAAGAGCCTTGGAGGGTGTTTTATGGTCTAGGCGATTAGAATACATTAAGCCTTAGCAGTGGAGCTGGCTCCCAGAACCTGAGCTGCCCTTGAGTCAGTGAAAGGAATGATGAATTCCAGAAATCCGTATTTCCATTCTGCTCACTAGACATCTGAAGGACCATCTCTGACACATAGGGTTGTTAGTATGTGGATGAAATACTCACTTTTTCTGGTTGTGGATTATATAATTATCTCGAAGCTGGGATAGTTTTCTTCCTTTTTCGATATACAACCAACTGTACCTCGGCTGGCTTGGGGTCCTCTCTACCAAGTGTGTGTAAAGCAAGTCTGAATTTCTAGTTGGAATAAGGAGATGGGAGGGTGTGTCAGAATTGTGTTTTATGCCTTTTTAAAAATATGCCTTCTGAGTGTGGTGAAAACAGCACTAGACTTGGAAGCAGAAGGCCTGCCTCTACTACTTACTGTGTTATCTTCATTTAAACAAGTCACTTAGAAACTGAAAGTTTTCATTTTTTGAACCTCTAAATGGGATTAATAATTGTCTACACACTGAGTTGATCATTCAAATGACAGAAACATCTATGAAAGCACTTGATTGATTATGGTGTCCTCTGCAAGTGTAAGGCTTTATTTGTCATTTGATTGTGTGTCTTAGAAACCTGCTCTATGAACTGTCAGAAGGCATTGACGAAGAGAAATTAAAGGATATGATCTTCCTTCTTGGAGACTCTCTTCCCAAAACCGAAATGGTGAGTGGGTCATATAGAATGGGGTCTGTGTGAGCCCTGTCTCAATCAATGATGAGGAAGATGCTGGAAAGGGTTTTAGGGATTTTTATTTTTTGTGGGAGACAATATACAACGGTTAGGAACACTGACTTTGGTGTTAGGTGAGCCTAGATTCTGGTCCTGATTTTGCTTCTAAACCCATGTTGTGAGGCCAATGACTGAACTTTTCTGAGTCTCTGTTTTCTTAGATGTAAAATTGTGGGCAATCATATGACTTCCTTCTAGGTCTGTTAAGAGAATTAGCTGAAACAGCGTGCATGAAGCATTAGCATGAGGCCTATATTTGGCATAGCATACGGTAAATTCTCACTTCCGTTGGCATCCGTTGCGGGTTTCTTTTTGCTTGTTTTGAGGTGGAGTCTTGCTCTGTTGCCCAGGCTGGAGTGCAGAGGCACAATCTCAGCTCACTATAACCTCCGTCTCCTGGGTTCAAGCTATTCTCCTGCCTCAGCCTCCCCAGTAGTTGGGATTACAGGCATGCACCACCATGCCCAGCTAATTTTTGTATTTTTAGTAGAGATGAGATTTCACCAAGTTGGCCAGGCTGGTCTCGAACTCCTGACCTTATGATCAGCCCACCTCAGCATCCCAAAGTACTGCGATTACAGGTGTGAACCACTGTCCCGGCCCATCCACTGTGTTTTATGATGTAAAAAGGTTTTTGCACATGAGGAAATGCAGAAGTGGTAAACAATGGCAGAGTGGAAATTATTTCTTCATCCATTTACTTTAGATCAGGTTTTGAAGGGAGCCTGAGTGTCTCTTTTAGTGGATTCTGCAATTTCTCTCATGTAGAATTTCTGTGAAAATCAAATGAGACAAATGTTCGAGGATGTGCTTTGTAAAGGGTTGCACAGGTGCTTTGAGTCAATTGTAATGTTTTTAATATTAATATAACTGCTATCTGCTAATATTGCCATATCGGTCACATTTAAGGGCAGAGAAGTAGCTCTTCTAGGCCTCAAAACTTTATATATGTTTTTTCTTATGACTTTAATAACAACTTGTGACGAGCAAGTTAGTTAATTTGGGAAGGGGGCAATTTTCAAATTTTATCCTACAGCATTAACTTATTATTCAACTACTATTTTTGTTATATTTTAGGTTGACTAATGTTTTAAAATTCAAAAGAATACATATAACATGTATGGAAGTTATGAAATGTAATACAAAAATAAGCTGGGCTTAGTAATGTGTATCTGTAGTCCCAGCTACTCTGGAGGCTGAGGTGGGAGACTTGCTTGAGCCAGGGAGGTTGAGGCTGCAGTGAGCCGTGATTGCACTACTGCACTCCAGCCTGGGTGATAGAGCAAGACCCTGTCTCCAAAAAAAAGGAAACATAATAATAAAGTGAAGAGCCATAAACCCACCATCAAACGTCTTTTTGTAAAAATTTTTTTAATTTTAATTTTTTTTTTTTGAGACAAGAGTCTCACTCTGTTTCCCAGGCTGGAATGCAGTAGCACGATCTCGACTCACTGCAACCTCCACCTCCCAGGTTCAAGGGATGCTCCAGCCTCAGCCTCCCAAGTAGCTGGGACTACAGACACATGGCACCATGGCTGGCTAATTTTTGTATTTTTAGTAGAGATGGGGTTTCACCATGTTGGCCAAGCTGGTCTCGAACTCCTGACCTCAAGTGATCTGCCCACGTGGGCCTCCCAAAGTGCTGGGATTATAGGCGTGAGCCACCACGCCCGGCCACCTTTCAACTTCTGAATGAAAACATCAAAAGCCTACATGTATAGTGTTCCCAGATCAACTGATATTATTGACAAATTGCTTGAAATAAAGTCACCTTGGAATGGGAAGCTGTTTTACATGTAGTAGATACAATGGGAACTATTTAATAATTTATTAAATATGTTTCCTGGTGTCAGGCCTGTAGGTCTGGGAAAGTGAATAGTGTCTGAGGTAAAACCTTTGAGTCATTTTTTCCTCTTTTTTAGAGCCCTCAGGGATTTCAGCCTTTTGTGTGCTTCTGATTGGTCACCACTGCTCTACCTCTTGGGGTTCCTTTCTCCAAAGAAGGGCTGTGGGGGTGCTTGGGGGTGGGAACTGAGTCTTACCCATTAGTAAACTCCAGGACCTTTCAGAATCTATTACGAAATGGTGCTTACGTGATCTGAATGAACGCATGAATGAAAGGGATGATGTGATCTTTCTCCTCCTTTATTTCTCAGAAAGCTGCCTGAACCCTTTCTATTTGTGGGATTTTATAATGAGTAATTAGGGGGACTGGCAGGATGAACTAAAACACACAGTGGGGTTTATAACATTCTCATAGTTGTGGTCCCTTGTTAGAATCTACTAATTTCCTACTTAGATGGTCCCTGGAAGTTCTGTGCTTTTTCATTGGCATGCCTCTGTTTATCTTTTTATTGTTAAAAATTAAAAAAAAAAAACAAAAACAGGCTGGGCACAGTGGCTCACACCTGTAATCCCAGCACTTTGGAAGACTGAGGTGAGAGGATTGCTTAAGGCCAGGAGTTTGAGACCAGCCTGGGCAACATAGTGAGACCTTGTTTATACAAAAAAAAAAAAATTAGGCCTGGTGTGGTGGTGCACGTCTATAGTCCCAGCTACTCTAGAGGCTGAGGTGGGAGGATCACTTGAATCCAGGAGGTTGAGGCTTCATTGAGCTATGGTCACACCACTATACTCCAGCCTGCACGAAAGACTGAAACCTTGTCTCTAAAAAACCCCCCAAAACCCAACCAACAAAACATGGGCACAGAAAATGACACAAAACTAATACACAGCTTAATGTATTATTATAAGGCTAATATCCTTGAAACCCTCACCCAGATCAAGAAGTTCAATTTTGTGTTTTAGCAAAATGCAGAATGACATTGTATAATGTGTCATCTGAATTTTCTCTGTGTTCTTATATGCTGGGTGTTTTCAAAACAAATTAATAGACAGTAATTTAAAAAGTGAAGAAAAAGAGAAAAATAAAAAGGAAAAAAGAAACAGAATTTTGTTAGCTACTTTAGAAAGCTCTCTATTTACCCAATCCCAGTCATGGCCCCTTCTTGGCCCCTAGAACTGATTGCTGTCCTGGCTTTTAAGGAACTGCCTTATTATGATGTGTTTCTTTATGATTTTATCACTTAACTGGGCTTCCCTAGACCTCAAATTTACTTTTGTTCAGTCCTTCCTTCCCTTCCTTCCTTCCTTCCTTCCTCCCTTCCTTCCTCCCGTCCTTCCTTTCTTCCTCCCGTCCTTCCTTTCTTCCTCCCATCCTTCCTTTCTTCCTCCTGTTCTTCCTTCCTTCCTTCCTCCCTTCCTTCCTTCCTTCCTTCCTCCCTCCCTTCCTTCCTTCCTCCCTCCCTTCCTTCCTCCCGTCCTTTCTTTCTTCCTCCCGTCCTTCCTTTCTTCCTCCCGTTCTTCCTTCCTTCCTCCCTCCCTCCCTTCCTTCCTTCCTTCCTTCCTTCCTTCCTTCCTTCCTCCCGTCCTTCCTTTCTTCCTCCTGTCCTTCCTTTCTTCCTTCCTTCCTCTCTCTCTCTCTCTCTCTCTCTCTCTCTCTCTCTCTCTCTCTCTCTCTCTCTTTTTCTTGAGATGGTCTGCAATGGTGTGATCTTGGGTCACTGCAACTTCCGCCTCCTGGGTTCAAGTGATTCTCCTGCCTCAGCCTCCCAATTAGTTGGGATTACAGGTTCCCACCTCCACATCTGGCTAATTTTTGTATTTTTAGTAGAGACAGGGTTTCACCATGTTGGCTAAGCTGGTCTCAAACTCGACCTCAGGTGATCTGTCCACGTCGGCCTCCCAAAGTGCTGGGATTACAGGCGTGAGCCATGTGCCTGGCCTTGTCCAGTTTTTCTTTCAAGTGTCTTTTAATCTGTAGGTTAGATTTCCTCCCTGCCCCCAAATCTCTTTCTTTTTCTTAAAATGTATTCATTGAAGAACCTCTTGACGGTTGGCCTGTAGAGTTTCTCCCAGGCTGGGTTTTGCTGACTGCACACTTGTGGTACAGTTCGGCATGTTTCTCTGTCCTCTGCATTTCCTGCAGACTGGCAGCTGAATCCAGAGGTTTCATCAGATTCAGGTCAGATTTGTTTGGCAGGATTAGAGGTAGTCTTGTTTTTTCATCCGGAGGTACCTGATTTTCTCTCTCTCTTCGATATTAGCAACTGTTTTATATGTTGAATTTTTAGGGGTTGCAAAAATGGAGATATTAGAATTCTTTTTTTTTTTTTTTTTTTTGAGACAGAGTCTTGCTCTTGTCACCCAGAGTGGAGTGCAATGGCACGATCTTGGCTCACCACAACCTCTGCCTCCTGGGTTCAAGTGATTCTTTTCCCTCAGCCTCCCAAGTAGCTGGAATTACAGGTGTGTGTCACCATGCCCGGCTAACCTTTTGTATTTTTAGTAGAGATGGGGTTTCACCTTGTTGGCCAGGCTGGTCTCAAACTCCTGACCTCAGGTGTTTGAGGCCCTCCTAAAGTGCTGGGATTTTAGGCATGAGCCACTGCACCCAGCCAGATATTAGAATTCTATCATTTCGTTTTCCCCTCATCTACTATTTGGTTACCCAGTGATATAGCTTATATGTAAATCCTTGATTCTTTTTGTTATCCAGTTTCCTTTTTTTTCTTTTTAATGAGACGGAGTCTCACTCAGTCACCCAGGCTGGAGTGCAGTGGTGTGATCTTGGTTCACTGCAACCTCTGCCTCCTGGGTTCAGGTGATTTTCCTTCCTCAGTTTCCTGAATATCTAGGATTACAAGCATGTACCACCATGCCTGGCTAATTTTTGTATTTTTAGTAGAAATGGGGTTTCATTATGTTGGCCAGGCTGGACTCAAACTTTTGTCCTCAGCCTCCCAAAATGCTGGGAATACAGGCGTGAACCACTGTGCCCCATCTAGTTATCCAGTTTTTAAGTTAATTGGTTTCTTTTCATTCTCTGCGGGTGACCCACTACAAAATATATATAAATTTAAACTCATGGATTAAACATATGAGGTGTTTCAATCTATTGCAATTATTATCCTTACTGAAGTTCAAATTGAGGCTAGGCATGGTGGCTCATGCCTGTAATCCCAGCACTTTGGGAGGCTGAGACAGACAGGTCCCTTGAGCCTCAGGAGTTTAAGACTAGACTGGGCAACATGACAAAACCCAGTCTCTACAAAAAAAATACAAAAATTAGCTGGACGTGATGGTGTGCACCTGTAGTCCCAGCTTCTCAGGAGGCTGATGTGAAAGGATCACTGGAGCCCAGGGAAGAAGTCAAGGCTGCAGTGAGCAATGGTTGTGCTATTGCACTCCAGCCTGGGTAACAGAGTGAGACCCTGTCTCCAAAAGAAAAAGAAAGAAAGAAAGAAAGAAAGAAAGAAAAAAAGTTCAGTTGTCCCATTTTTTTTCCCCAGGGGATGCATCTTCAGTTTGGTTCCTGTCATTCTGACATGACCTTAGTAGTCTCTGATGGCTTCTTTACTATTTGGCAAAAATATTTCAGGTTCATCTTGCATATTTTCTGCCCAGTCCTAGAATCTCTCATTTCTCCCAAAAGCCCTGGTTTCTTTTAATGAGAGATGTCATTTCAAGACCACAAACTAGATGCTGGCATGCTCCTTGCTTTTGGGTTTTTGTATATATACACATACACTACATATATACACATACACATATACATATATATACACACGCAAACACACATACACATACACATATACATATATATGTACACATGCACACACACACACACACACACACGACCTAAAGGTTAATAATTCTTGGAGAATTTTTAAAAACAGGATTTTGTTTTAGGGAATACTTTTATGTAAAGCATCGTAAGGATATTCTGCTTCTGCCATTAAATTTCAGTGCCCACGTTTGCGGTGGTGCAAAGCAATTTCCTGCTAAAATGGCAGCATTATACCTTAAATGCAGAATTTCTCAAAGTCAGAGGAGATTCCTGCAGTTTGACAAGCTCTCCAGGTGGATTTGATAAGATTATTTCCCAAGTCAGGTCATCCACTCACAAATGTTCCAGTGTCTAGGTTTATAAACAAAATGAGACCACTTTTTATTGTTATACCCCATCCTATGTTAAGAACTCTGAATAATATGAGGTAGGGGGTGAGGGATGAGAGAAAGGTCATTTGTTAAAGCAGTTGTCTCTTGTATGCTGAACACTGAGTGTTAGTTTTCAAATAAGAAAAGCCGGAAAATGTTTTTTTTTTCTCTTTTGTTTGCACAGGTTCTAGAACTTTACTTGAAGGGATCTGTGGCTACAGAATTATTATTGTTATTAGACAGAGTTCACTCTTACTGTCCAGTTTGGAGTGCAATGGCGCCATCTCGGCTCACTGCAATCTCCACCTCCTGGGTTCAAGTGATTCTCCTGCCTTAACCTCCCAAGTAGCTGGGATTACAGGTGCCTGCCACCACACCGAGCTAATTTTTGTATTTTTAGTAGAGATGGGGGTTTCACCATGTTGGCCAGGCCGGTCTGGAACTACTGATCTCAGGTGATCCACTCGCCTTGACCTCCCAAAGTGCTGGGGTTGCAGGTGTGAGCCACTCCGCCCAGCCAGAAACTCATGTCTTGAAACATCCTACCAGGAGGAATACAAGGAGCTAAGATGTGATTCCAGAAGTAATTATGGAGATTCATTATACTTTCTAAAAGTTTATTAGATGCTTAGTACATCACACACACACATTTAAATGGGACCTGGACATTAGTTTAAGAATACCACTCTGGCAAATACTAGCAGCAAAGGTCTGAAAGCTCTTGTTCTGTTTCTTTGCTAAAGAGTTAGTAGGTTCAGGTGTGGTTTCCTTTAGACTCAGTATTCTATGCTGATTGCTATGCTGAGAACGGATTTCCTGACAGTTGTTAGATCTCTCAGGATGTGTGTAGGCCAGCTATGCTGGTTATGTTTCTGTGAAAGCTCTCAAAGAGAAATCCCAGAATCCCTTACAAAGGCAAGGTTATTTGTATTCTCCCCGAGAGACCACATGAATTTAGAACCTTTCTGTTTTGGCTGAGGGGTGTTCAGGCCCTCTTCCAACGGCGGGTAAGTAATCTATTACTTACTATTAAAAATACAAAAATTTTTATTTTTGTATTTCTCTGCTAAAAATACAAAAATTAGCTGGGTGTGATGGCACGTGCCTACAATCCCAGCTACTCAGGAGGCTGAGGCAGAGGAATCGCTTGAACTCTGGAGGTAGAGGTTGCAGTGAGCCGAGATTTCACTATTGCACTCCAGCCTGGGCAACAGACTGAGATTCTGTCTCAAATAAAAGAAAATAATAAAATAAAAAAAAATGCTCATCAAATTGTGATTTTTTTTTTTTTTTTTTTGAGACAGAGTCTTGCTCTGTTACCAGGCTGGAGTGCAGTGATGCAATCTCTGCTCACTGCAACCTCTGCAATTCTCCTTCCTCAGCCTCCCAAGTAGCTCAAACTACAGGCACCCGCCACCATGCCTGGCTAATTTCTGTATTTTTAGTAAAGATGGGGTTTACACCATGTTGGCCAGGCTGGTCTCAAATTTCTGATCTCGTGATTCGCTCACCTTGGCCTCCCAAAGTGCTGGGATTACAGGTGTGAGCCACTGCACCCGGCCCAAATTGTGATTTTTTTTTTTTTTTTAGAGAATTCCTTTTCTTTTAAAACACCAAATTTAAAATTCTTTCAGAACATTTCCCCCTCATTTCTTTGGTGTTCCTCTTTTGCTGGTTCCCTAATCAGTATCACTTAAAGCAGTGAGTTAGAGTTCAGTGGTTAATGAGATAGACTGTGGCATCAGATTGTATCAGTTCTGCCATTTATTAGCTTTGTGACTTTGAGCAAGTTACTGGAACCTCTTTGTGCCTCAATTATTTCATCTTTAACATGAGGATTATAATAGTATCTACTCATTCAGTTGTTGTAATGTTAATATACAGCAAGCATGGCTCCTGTTGTATAATTCTATATATTTGGTACCTGGTATTAATATAGATTGTATACATATTTGCTTGGTAATGCCTCTTCCTCTACACTCCTGAGCAATGTGAGGGCAGATGCTGTCGTATCTTATTTATCAGTGCAAAACCTAGTGCCTCGTGGCCATGCAGGTAACATTTGAGTGAGTGGATAATCAGTAGGGAAGGAAGTGTAATTCTATTGATTCTCTTGTAGACCTCTCTAGGGTTACTGGCATTTCTAGAGAAACAACATAAAATAGATGAAGATAATCTGACAGTCCTGGAGGACCTCTGCGAAAAGGTTGTACCTAACCTTTTGAGAAACATAGAGAAATATAAAAGAGAGAAAGGTAAGTAGCTTGTGCTTGCTAACTTGCACAAGACCATGGACATTCTTAACCCAGTTGGCCTTGCATGATTTTTTTTGTTTGGGGTTTTTTTTTTTTTTGAGACAGAGTCTCACTTACTCTTCCACCCAGGCTGGAGTGCAGTGGTGCGATGTCGGCTCACTGAAACCTCCGCCTCCCAGGTTCAAGTGATTCTTCTGCCTCAGCCTCCTGAGTAGCTGGGATTACAGGCACCTGGCACCACACCTGGCTAATTTTTGTATTTTTAGTAGAGACAGGGTTTCACCACGTTGGCCAGGCTTGTCTCCAACTGCTGACATCAAGTGATCCACCCGCCTCAGCCTTTCAAAGTGCTGGGATTACAGGTGTGAGCCACTGCACCACGCCCGTGTGTGATGTTTACTCATCATTCTGGTAATATTCTACTAGAAAAGCCAGAAATCTTCCTTTTGTTCATATTGAATTCATTAGTTGAGGTCATATTTTGTACCAGGCACTGTTTTAGAAGTTGAGGATGGCCGGGCGTGGTGGCTCATGCCTGTAATCCCAGCACTTTGGGAGGTCAAGGCGGGCAGATTGCCTGAGCTCAGGAGTTCGAAACCAGCCTGGGCAACACAGTGAAACCCAATTTTTACTAAAAAAAATACAAAAAAATAGCAGAGCATGGCGGTGTGTGCCTGTAATCCCAGTTACTTGGGAGGCTGAGGCAAGAGAATTGCTTGAACCCAGGAGGCAGAGGTTGCAGTGAGCCGAAATTACACCACTGCACTCCAGCCTGGGCAACAGACTTAGACTCAGTCTCAAAAAAAAAAAAAGAAGTTGGGGATATAGCAAAGTACAGAGCAAAGCTCCTGCCCTCTTGGAACTTACATTTCAGTGCAGGGAAATAGTTTTAGACAAACATCTTTTTCTGATTCTAATATGGGAGTGAGAGTGTATGAAATTGTTTTAAATGAAATGACATAAAAAAGAAGGCAGGATAGCCTGGGGTGAGAGTGGAGTCTATAGTGAGGTTGCCAGGACTCCGCTTATTCGTGGTGCAGTGGTACTTTTTTGGCTTTTCTGTTTCACTTTTCCCATGTGTAAAGTGGGCATAATAATAGTACCCACATCATAGGTTTTTGTGAGGATTGAATGAGATAATTTCTGTAAAATGCTTGTCTGGCATGGAATAAGCATTCAATACATGTGACTATTGTTACTGAGAGATAAGTAATGAAGACTTCACATTCTCAGAAACGACTATCAAAGAAGAACTTTATTATTATTATTATTTTTTATTTTTTAGACAGAGTCTCACTCTGTCACCCAGGCTGGGTTGTAGTGGGGCAATCTCAGCTCACTGCAACCTCCACCTCCCGGGTTCAAGCAATGCTCCTGCCTCAGGCTCCTAAGTAGCTGGGATTACAGGCAGGCACCACCATGCCCGGCTAATTTTTGCATTTTTAGTAGAGATGGGGTTTCACCATGTTAGCCAGGCTGGTCTTTAACTCCTGACCTCGTGATCTGCCCATCTTGGCCTCCCAAAGTGCTGGGATTACAGGCGTGAGCCAACTCACCCAGATTTTTTTTTTTTTTTAAGTCTGTCTGATAAAGGTAGTTCTGCTGTGATATTTTATATAGGACAGAAGTCAAACCTGGCTGCCTCACCATGTGTCAATATGCTAAATATCTATGTTTTTCCGAGTCCACTTCTCCACTGTTAAACAAGAGCTATACATTAAAAACTCCTGAGTATATTCATGAAACTTTTATGCCACACCCTTAATTTAGTTCAGTGAGTGACTCTAGTGTGCAAATTTCTTTGGTTAAAAATGAAACTAGCTAAGAGGAAACGACACAGAATGAGTTGAGGTGCAAAATATACTGTTGTTAAATTGATAAAATCTCAATAAAACAATGAATAAATGCATAATTTAATTTATGAAGAATAAAACAGTTCTTTTTGTCATCAAATTATCAAATGAGAAATAAAAAGCAAAAAATTGATATGGAAAGAATATTTGGAATCTTCACATGAGCGCTGAGTTTTCCTCTGAACCAATTGTCTTTTTCCTGTAATGTTGTATCCCATATAAAGTAAACACAGGGCAAGTGGTCATATTATTTTGGATATTTAAAAAGAAGACACACTAGTTTCTATGTAGTTGATTACATTTGTCTCAGTGAGTGTTGACGACTGAGCTTTATTTTTAAATTTAATTTTTATTTTTTGAGACAGAGTCTCACTCTGTTGCTCAGGCTGGAGTGCAATGGCATGATCTTGACTCACTGCAACCTCCACCTCCTGGGTTCAAGTGATTTTCCTGTCTCAGCCTCCCGAGTACTGGGATTACAGGTGCCCACCACTACACTTGGCTAGTTTTTGTATTTTTAGTAGAGACAGGGTTTTACCGTTAGTCAGGCTGGTCTCGAACTCCTGATCTCAGGTGATCCACTAGCCTTGGCCTCCCAAAGTGCTGGGATTGCAGGCATGAGCCATCATGCCCACTGAGCTTTTTTTTATTTTTATTTGAGATGGAGTCTTGCTCTGTTGCCCAGGCTGGAGTGCGGTGGCACAATCTCAGCTCACTGCAACCTCCACCTCCCAGGTTCAAGTGATTCTTCTGCCTCAGCCTCCTGAGTAGCTGGAATTACAGGTGCCTGCCACCACATCCAGCTAATTTTTGTATTTTTAGTAAAGCAGAATTTCACCATGTTGGGCAGGCTGATCTTGAACTCTTGACCTTAAGAAGTGATCTCTGATCTGCCTGCCACAGCCTTCTAAAGTGCTGGGAATACAGGTGAGAGCCACTGTACTGGGCCCAGGACTGAGCTTTACATCAGCAGAGTTCTAATTTTGATTTTTCTTTTTTTTTTTTGAGATGGAGTTTCGCTCTTGTTGCCCAGGTTGGAGTGCAATGGTGCGATCTTGGCTCACGGAAACCTCTGCCTCCTGGGTTCAAGTGATTCTCCTGCCTCAGCCTCCCAAGTAGCTGGGATTACAGGCATGCACCACCACACCTGGCTAATTTTTTGTATTTTTAGTAGAGACAAGGTTTCTCCATGTTGGTCAATCTGATATCAAACTCTTGACCTCAGGTGATTGGCCCGACTTGGCCTCCCAAAATGCTGAGATTACAGGTGTACCCATTGCACCAGGCCCTAATTTTGATTTTTCTTTTCTACAGCCTACCTGTGTGTGAGATCTCTTTTGGGTGTCAATCATTATTGCTATTTCAATATTGACTTTCTTTAGTTCTAAGAGTTTGAGCCTAGTTCTGCCAATAAGATGAAAGACTAAAGGACTGAAAAGAATGGGAATCAGAGTTTAGACATTTCTGTAAGTGTGATCCAAAGTCCAAGCTAGGTAACTTTATTTAAGGACCACCTGGCTAACTTTTTAAGTTTTCTTGAGCCTTGGTGTTTGCTTTAGTTTTTTATTTTTATTTTTATTTTTTGAGACAGAATCTTGTTCTGTCGCCAGGCTGGAATGCAGTGGAGTGATCTTGGTTCACTGCCACCTCTGCCTCCCAGGTTCAAGCAATTCTTTTGCCTCAGCCTCCTCCTAAGTAGCTGGGATTACAAGCACACACCACCACACACAGCTAATTTTTGCATTTTTAGTAGAAATGGGGTTTCACCTTGGCCAGGCTGGTCTCAAACTTCTGACCTCATGATCCGTCTGCCTTGGCCTCCCAAAGTGCTGGGATTACAGGCATGAGCCACTGTGCCGGCCTAGTATTTTTAATTTATTATTCAAATATGGTACATAATAATAAAATCAAATACAAATTCAAATAATTAAAACAGTATAGAATGTAGAAGGTAAAAGTCTTTCTCCTTTTCTTTTTTTTCTATTACCAACCCATTTCCCAAAGATAACCACTGTTTGAAATATATATTACTGATTTTCTTCTATTTAGAAACAATTGTATGTGTACATAGCTATTACACACACACAGAGACACATATATATTTGACAAAGACCATGCTAATTATATTCTATAACTTGCTTTCCCCTCCCACATAATGTAGCTGACATTTTAATGAATATATTAATAATACAGAGATAGCCCATTTTTATTAATATTCTCTTAGAAGTCATATTATGGATATAACATTTTTATATAATTGCCACTTTTAAATGGATTGTCTTTTTTCTTCCATTCTTTTTTCCTTCTTCTTTTTTTGCTATTATAGCCTGAATTCTGATATTATTTTTTGAGGTAATGCTTTAGAAATCTCTACTTGGCAATTATCTGGCACATTAAACACCATACTTTTTTTTTAGCAGCTTAAAACAACAGTAAGTTTTAAAATACTATTTAATAAAGGATATAGTAATTTTAAGGCACTCATAAAATTATAAAAATAACAAAAACATAAAAGTAATAGAAAATATAACAATACAAAGAATAAAAATCATTTATAAATGTACCCTTTTTTTCCAGGTATATATGTAGGCTTCCATAAACAAATGCAATTAGAAATTTACAATTCTCAGGCCAGACACGGTGACTCACCCCTGTAATCCCAGCACTTTGGAAGGCTGAGGTGGGTGGATCAGCGGAAGTCAGGAGTTCAAGACCGGCCTGGCAAACATGGTGAAACCCTGTCTTTACTAAAAATACAAATATTAGCAGGGCATGGTGGCGCATGCCTGTAATCTCACCTACTCAGGAGGCTGAGGCAGGAGAATCACATGAACCTGGGAGGTAGAGTTTGCAATGACCAATATTGCTCCCTTGCACTCCAGCTTGGGCAACAAGAGCAAAACTCCATCTCAAAAAAAAAAGAAAATTACAATTCTCTTCAAAATAATTACTTTACATGGCTGCTTTTGATGACTGGTTATTTTGGATTGCTATGAATCAGAAGGTGATTTTTGTTTTTCTGTTTGTGATTTTATTTCCAGCTACCCAGATAGTGATACCTCCTGTAGACAAGGAAGCTGAGTCATTGTATCAAGGAAAGGAAGAACTGTTTTCCCAAACAGAAGTTAAAACATTCTTGGAAGCCTTACCGGTAGGTTCAGTGGTGTGCTGGTCATTGTTTAACAACCAGCTCCATCTTCCAACCCCAAAAAGAAAAAGAGAGGCCCCAGTTTGTACCATTTGCTGTATATGCTCCCGCCGTGGTGATTTCAAGGAAACAACATGATATTAACCAGAGTGCACATTTTCTGAAAATTTAACAATTGGCTCTCGCTAGCTGACTAGTGAGAGGTAGTTAGTGTGAGCTCTCACTAGTTAGTCTGAGCTTATTCCACACATCCCTGAGTTGTTTTGAAATGGTTTCTCTGTTCTTATCTGTGGGATGCAATTAGACTTGGCTTCAGGGACATAAAATCTATGGAGTACAGGACACCTAGCAGTAATTCCAGAGTTCAAATGCAGACCTTTGTTTAATGCTCTGCTGTTACTGCTTTGAAATTCTTAATGTATTGAACAAGAGGTTTGCCAAGCATGTTGCTGGGCAACCCAGAGGACAAGAAGTGTGTTTCTGGTTTCTGGGTGCTCAGCTCTGAAAGGATGGGTGGAAGGGGAAACACTGGGAGAGTCTGCAGTCTGTTCCTCACAATGTGATCATGATCCCTGGGAGCTTGGAAACCACTGTTCTACTTTCTCTCTATATAAATTAGACTCCTTAGGGTACCTCATATAAGTGGAATCATACAATATTTGTTCTTTTGTGACTAGCTCATTTCACTTAACGTAATGTCTTCGGGGTTCATCTAAGTTGTAGCATATCTCAGAATTTTCTTCTTTCTAAAGGCTGAATAATATTCCACTGTGTGTATATAAAGTATATCCTCACTTAACAGCATTGATAGATTTTTGGAAACTGACTTTAAGTGATAGCACACTGTATAATGTATTTATTTTTATTTTTAAATTTTTTGGTAGAGATGGGGTCTCACTCTGTTGCCCAGGCTGGTCTCAAACTCTTGGGCTCAAGCAAACCTCCTGCCTTATCCTCCTAAAGTGCTAAGATTACAGCAGTGAACCACCATGCTCAGCCACATACCATATAATAAAACCAATTTTACCATTGGCTAATTGATATAAACAAGAGTTGGCCCGGCATGCTGGCCCACACCTGTAATCCCAGCACTTTGAGAGGCCAAGGTGGGTGGATTACTTGAGGCCAGGAGTTCGAGACCAGCCTTGCCAAAACCCCATCTCTACTAAAAATACAAAGATTAGCCGGGTGTGGTGGCGCACACCTATTATCCCAGCTACTCAGGAGGCTGAGGCACAAGAATTGCTTGAACCTGGAAGGCAGAGGTTGCTATGAGCTGAGATTGCATCATTGCACTCCAGCCTGGGTGACAGAGTTAGACCCTGTCTCAAAAAACAATAACAAAAATAATCCCTAAGATTTAAGTTCCTACAGCATACAGTTCATTGTTTCACTGAAAGTCGGAGTTACCAAGAACCTATGGATGACTCTGAGTGAGGACTCAGTCTACCACGTTTTGTTATCCGCTCGTCCACTGATGGACTCTTGGGCTGCTGCCACCTTTTGACTATTTTTAAGAACGCTGCTAAGAATATCAGTGTGAAAATATCTCTTTGAGATGCGGCTTTCAGTTCTTTTGGGTACGTACCCATGGTGGATTATATAGTCATTCTATTTTCAGTGTTTTTGAGGAACCTTCATACTATTTTACGCAGTGACTACTGTTTGACATTTCCACCAACTGTGCACAAGGGTTCCAGTTTCTCCACATCCTCAGCAACACTTCCTCACCAAAACCTAATCTTTTCTTTTGATAGTAGCCATCCTTGTGGTTTTGATTTGCATTTCCTTGATTTCCTTCTATTTTCTTTTCCTTTTGATAGTAGCCATTCCTTGTGGTTTTGATGCAAATTAAGGAAATGCAAATAAAAACCACAAGGATTTGGTTTTGTGGTTGTTGATCATCTTTCCCATGTGCTTTTAGGCCATTTGTATATCTTCTTTAGAGAAGTGTCTGTCTAAGTCCTTTGCTCATTTTCTAGTTGGGTTGTTTGTAGAAGTTTTATTTTATTTATTTTTTTTGAGATTGAGTCTCACTCTGTCACCCAGGCTGGAGTGCAGTGACACAATCTTGGCTCACTGCAACCTCCACCTCCCTGGTTCAAGTGATTCTCCTGCCTCAGCCTCCTGTAATACCAAATAGCTGGTATTACAGGTGTGCGCCACCACACCTGGCTAATTTTTGTATTTTTAATAGAGACAGGGTTTCACTAAGTTGGCCAGGCTAGTCTCGGACTCCTGACCTCAAGTGATCTGCCCACCTTGGCCTCCCAAAGTGCTGGGATTACAGATGTGAGCCACCATGCCCGGCCTTTATTTTTTATTCTTAAAAATTGTTTTATGGCTTCTTTACAACTGTCATGGTCTCATATTTTTAGTTATGATTTTTAGATTTAAAAATAATTTCAATTTTATAGAAAAGTTGTAAGAATGTGAATAATACAAAGAACACCTATGTACTGTTTTCCTAGATTCACCTACCTGTTGTCGATGTTTTACCCCATTTGCTTTATTATTTTGTGCATTCACTCATACTTGTGCTCTTTTTCTGTCTCCACACACAAATTTTTTTTCTGAACTTTTTGAGAGTAAGTTGCATATATCATGGCCCTTTACTCCTAAACATTTTGGTGTGTATTTCCTAATAACAAGGATATTCTTTTATAGAGCTATAATACAATTATCAATGCCAGGAAAGTTACGTTAATATAATACTTTTATCAAATCAATGGTCCATATTCCAATTTTGTCTGTTGAACCCAATAATGTCCTTGACAGTTCATCCAGCACAAAATTCCACCTAAGATCATATGTAAATACAGCTGGGTACAGTGTATTTACCCCTGGGTAAGGCTGGGTACATTGGCTCACACCTGTAATCCTAGCACTTTGGGAGGTCGAGGTGGGAGGACCACTTGAGACCAGGAGTTTGAGACAAGCCTGGGCAACATAGTGAGACCCTCTCTAAAAGAAAATAATAAAAATTAAAAATACAATATAATACAATGCAATATTGTAATTAGTTGTCATGATCCTTTAGTCATCTTTACTCTTTTTTTTCTATTTTTTTGAGGGGGCATAGAGCCTCCCTCTGTCTCCCAGGCTGAAGTGTAGTGGCATGATCTTGGCTCACTATAACCTCCACCTCCTGGGTTAAAGCAATTCTTGTGCCTCAGCCTCTTGAGTATCTGAGATTACAGGCATGTGCCACCACGTTTGGCTAATTTTTGTATTTTTAGTAGAGATGGGGTTTCACCATGTTGGCCAGGCTGGTCTCAAACTCCTGACCTAAGTGATCTGCCTGCCTCAGCCTCCCAAAGAGCTGGGATTACAGGCATGAGCCACCACACCTGGCTTCGTCTCCTTTAATCTTGAACATTTCCATAGCTTTTATGCCATTTAATTTCCTCTTTTATGCCATCAAGACTTTATTTATTTATTTATTTGGAGACGGAGTCTTGCTCTGTAGCCTAGGCTGGAGTGTAGTGGCTTGACTCTGCCTCCTGGGTACCAGTTCAAGCAATTCTTCTGCCTCAGCCTCCTGAGTAGCTGGGATAAAAGGAACATGCCACCATGCCCAGCTAATTTTTATATTTTTAGTAGAGATGGGGTTTCACCATGTTGGCCAGGCTGGTCTTGAACTCCTGACCTTGTGATCCACCCACCTCAGCCTCCCAAAGTGCTGGGATGACAGGCATGAGCCACCGCACCCAGCCGCCATTGAGACTTTTGAAGAATGCAGTCACTCCTCCCACCTTTCATTAAGTAGAATTTTGTTTATCTTTGGTACGTGTGGTGTTTCTTCACAATTAGATTCAAGACATACATTCTAGCCAGAATATCACAGAAGTGGTGTGTTTTTCTCAGGGCATCCCGTTTGTAGGCACAAGATGTCCATCTGCCCTCCAATTCGTGATGCTAATTTTGATTGTTTGGTTTTCTGATATCTTCACTCTGTAGTTAATTTTTATATAGTTACTATTTTTCCCCCCATACAATTAATAAGCAAGTGCTGGAGAGATATTTTAAGATTCTGTAAATATCCTGCTGCACATGAGAAGTTTCCCCTAGATTGAGTGTTCACTGATGATTCTTGCGTGATCCAGCATTTGCGATGTTGGTTGTAAAGCAATGCTTTTCCGACTCCAGTATTCTCTCCACATTTGTAAGTTGGCTCTCAGCATTCTACTGTAAAGAAGGACCCTCCTGTCTCCCCAGGAAGGTGTTCTTGTTTTTTTAAATAAAGGAGACAGTGGAAACTGGTCAGATGACCTGTAGCTCCTGGAGTTTGGCAAAGGCTGGGCAAATGCTCCACCTGAAGACTGTGCAGCAGCCAGGAAGTGACACAGAACAGGAAGGTTTGCTCTGTGGCTCTTGCCCTGAAGCCGATTCAGCAGGTGGAGGTATTTAGGCATTTGAGGGAATCTCAGCTTTGGGAGGGCACTTTGTAAGTGATCTTAAGAGATTAAGTGCATCCTTAATTAAAAGAAACACCTCTGCCTGCTTGCTGTGAGTTTATTTGAATTCCGTATCTCCCCCAAAGGGAAATAACACAAAATTGCAATTATTTATAAAAGCCTAAATTGGCTTCTTTTCTCTAGGAAAATAGCCCTTGATTCAATTAATTCCAGTCCTAGAAAAGCGCTTAGACATCTAATTGAGGTATTGAGGGAGGGAGGCTGCTCCCCTTGATTCTGTTACTGTAATCCACTTAAACTGACATTTATGGGCAACTCCCTGACCCTGGGCACAACTTTGTTTAGAGCGTTGCAAACCCCTCCCCACTCCCCACTCCTCCCTCCCCCAGAAGCTCTTTATTTTAAAATTTTATTTCATTTTATTATTTTTTTGAGATGGAGTCTTGCTCTGTTGCCCAGGCTGGAGTGCAATGGCACAATCTCAATGCAACCTCGCCTGCCAAGTTCAAATGATTCTTGTGCCTTAGCCTTCCTAGTAGCTGGGATTACAGGTGTGCGCCACCATGCTCAGCTAATTTTTTTTTTTTTTTTTGTATTTTTAGTAGAGACAGGGTTTCATTATGTTGATCTCAGGTGATCCACCCTCCTCAGCCTCCCATGAGTGCTGGGGTTCCAGGCATGAGCCTGGCCATCCCAGAAGCTCTTTAAAACGTGGTTTTCCAGCACTAACATTTTAGGATTCCCTAATTCTAAGTTAAATTGCCTGCTAAACCTAACTCTTCCCACCCACTTTTTCAAGTAGGTTTGTACTCAGATACTGATGTGCATGTAGACAGACAGACACATACACACCCACACACACACACACACACACACACATACATTCTGCTCTTTGTCTTTGAGAAATCCAGTGGTTTCTAAAGGTGCATGGCTCAGCTGTGGCCTCTGAAGCAATGTGATTCTGCTGACATGGGATGACTCTGGCCACAGCACGTGCAGTGTGGGGATAGTTGTGGCAGTGCTGGAGGTGTGGGAGGACTGCAGCACAGGACCTCACATGTTTTCACACACTCTTAGGGTTGGAAGGTGTCTTAAAAGTTATCTGGGCAGCCCTTCCTCTCTCCATCAAGTGATGAATAAAATATAACTTGGTGAAACATCTCATGTTTCTTAAGCACCTGAAGATTTTAAAAAAAAATTTTATTGGGCTCAATGAGAAGAGACTCTCATTGAATTTTAAGCAACATCTCCTAATTTGTTGAAAAATTAAATTGATATATATATATATATATATATATATATATTTTTTTTTTTTTTTTTAATTGAGATGGAGTTTCACTCTTGTTGCCCAGGCTGGAGTACAATGGTGCTATCTTGGCTCACTGCAACCTCTGCCTCCCAGGTTCAAGTGATTCTCCTGCCTCAGCCTCCCGAGTAGCTGGGATTAAAGGTACCCGCCACCATGCCTGGCTAATTTTTTGTATGTTTAGTAGAGACAGTGTTTCACCATGTTGGCCAGGCTGATTTTGAACTCCTGACTTCAGGTGATCTCCCGCCTCTGCTCCCAAAGTTCTGGGATTACAGGCATGACCCACCACGCCCAGCCAAATAGATATTTTTAAGTGTGACACAAGATTTTCTTAAGGAGAGGCATGCCTCTCGTTGGAGGAGACCTAACACCTTCTTCTTAATAAGGCCTTATTGGACTCCTCTTGAAAACAATCAAAAGAAGTTGAAAGATGACTGAGTGTGGCTAGGCTGTGCAACATTCATTCATTCATTCATTCCTCTTTGACATAGATACTTAAGAGGTGTCAGCAGAGGATGCAACATTCTCAGGAGAAGAAAGACAGACTAGACCTTAAAGCTTTTTTTCTAGTCCCTGTTCTGGCTGACTTTTTCAGCCAGGGGAAGAACAAATCAAGGAGAGCTAAGGTCTGAAGGGGCTGGGCAGAGCCTGCTGCTGTGTCTGCATTCCCTTTAGTCCTGAAGACTCACTCAAGTACTGGACAAAACCAGACGGCAGCCTGGCCAGGCTCTTGTCTGCCGCTTGGAAGGAATCTAGGATTCTGCAGGAAGGGAACAGTGGCTTGTGAAAAGAACGGCAGGAAGCCTTTTGGAGAGTGAAACTAAGCCTCCTTTGCATTTGTTTTCCCCAGAGCTGGGAATTTTTTTTTTTTTTTTTTAGACAGTCTTGGTCTGTTGCCCAGGCTGAAGTACAGTGACATGATCTCAGCATGCTGCAACCTCTGCCTCCCAGGTTCAAGTGATTCTCCTGCCTCAGCCTCTCAAGTAGCTGGAATGACAGGCATGTGCCACCACTCCTGGCTATTTTTTTTTTTTTTTTTGTATTTTTAGTAGATATGGGGTTTCACTATATTGGCCAAGCTGGTCTTGAATTCCTGACCTCGTGATCCACCCACTTTGACCTCCCAAATGAGATTACAGGTGTGAGCCACCACACCTGGCCAGAGATGGGAAATCATAGTATTGTGCAGCCCAGAAGGCTGGGGGCTCCAGCAGGGAGGCATTCCCAGGAACTTGGGGGTGATTTGTTGGTTCCCTCACGCAGGTCAGGGCCAGCCCTTCCCCAACACCTTGCTCATGTTCCCTTGGGGGCTTTCTGCTGCAGGCTGATGGCTGAGGGTCATGGGGGAAGGGAGTGGTGGTGAATGGGGAGGAGGACACAAAAAAGACAGGGTCCTAGACTTTGTTTTAATTTTGTATTTAATTATATAAAACATTAACGTATGCCAAAGTAGTCTATATTGCATCCTTGCCTCTCCTTCTCCCTCAATTACCATTTTTATTTGTTTTTTGATTTATCCTATTGTCACTTTTGAAAAAAGTCCAACTCATATCTTCTCTTTATTACAAAAGAGGTAGTGTACTCAAATACCATTTCGTTCTCCTTTCTCCATGTGACAGCACCCCTGGAGACGTCTATAGAGTCTGTCCTCGGCATCTCACCCCACTGTGTGGACATATCGTAGTTTTTTCAGTCGCTTCCTATTGGTGTACATTAGGCTATTTTAAGTCCTTAGTGCAAATAATGCTGCAATGAATAAATACCCTTGAGCATATGTCACACTTTGTTTTTGCCAGTGCGTCTTTGTGAACTTTCTCTTTTGGATGAGAGAGCTGGTTCTCTTCCCATCTCCTGCCAATGACCTTTTCTGTGGCTGGGGATTAGATATCTGTCCTTCCCTCCATCAAGTCTAGTTTTTGTTTCTCATCCAACTGTGTGAATTTCCTACATTTCATGGATTTTTTTGTTTGTTTTCTCAACAGGAGGAGCCCTGGAAAAATAAGCATGGAAGGAGTGATGGTAGGTGTTTCTAATACACTTTTTACAACTTAGATCAGTATGGCAGGGGTAGATATATTTGATATATATGAAGGAATTTCAGGTGACTTGGAAAAGAAGGTTTACAGATAATGGAGAATTCATTTTCTATTCCAATTCAAGGCAAGACATTGAATGCATGTTTTACACTAGGCTTTTCTATGGCCGTATGGAGAGGGCTGCGTGGTTTCTGCTCTGAATGCCTAGTGTAGCAGATTCTAGAAAGTGCAGACAGCTGCTCTCCCTCTACCCTTCAGAATTAGGTCACTCTCTGTGTAGCAGAAACAGCCCCCAGCAGGGCTGGAGCCTTCAGGCCAGCACTGACAGTGGAACATGCAGTCTGGGTGGGTGTCCTTTATGGAGTGCTTCCAGATGTTGATTCAGAGGGAGAGAAGAAACTAGAGGAGGGACCTGAGGATGGTGTGTTTAGTTCCCTGAATCCCTGCTCAGAAACCAAAACCTTAAGCAAGTATTCCAGAATCTGCCATTGGGCTAAACTGCTTATGAACAAACAGGCTTTGGTGAAGTCTTTCTGTGGTATATAGAGTTTGTCACAGCCCATTCCTCATTTTTTTTTTTCTGGAAAATTAACCTTCAGAGTCCAAGACATACAACTTTGCTAGCCATCTGTCATTTTGCCTAACATGGAGGTGGTGTGCTATGATGTTGATAACATTGGCTCGGTTACCATTATGAAGCCCTTGTCATGTACCAGGCACTGTTCAGAGAGATTCCAGGGAGTATGTCATTTAATCCTCCAATCACTGTACTGCTGTTATTCTCACCAGTGAGGAAACCAAGACCCATGAAATCTAGTGCTTTGTTTGCACTGCAGCTAAAAAGAAGTGAAGCTGGGATTTGAACCCAGCAGTCTGAGTCTGGTTCCAGAGCTAGCTCTCCTAAGGCCAGGCTCTTCCGCTATCTACTTATGTGAGCTCAGGCGACCACTTCACCCCTCTGAGGAATAAGGCAGTTTCTTTCAGCTTTACAACTCTGCGTGGCTTCCAACATTTAGACGTGGCTTCCCCTGGAGTGTTACCTTCTCCCATGGTGAGGAGAAATTTATAGGTGCTTGAGCCACTGCAGTGTGGATCTCTTTTGCTGTGTTTTCTGGTCTGGAGAGTATGGACTTGCTCAGCCTGAGCTAAGCCTGAGGATTGATCCTTAGCAGTAGTTAATAACTAACTCATGCCCCAGAGATAAGGATAGAGTTTGGTGGATTCTACTACAAACTTTCTACAAGAGGAAAAAGAAAACTGTTTCATGTTACATTTCCCTGTTAGTGCCACATGACAAATAACCCATCCTTGACCTTCTCTCTGTAATAGTGTCTTTTCCAGAAGAATCAGGGAGTTTGCAAGAACACTTCAAAGCAGTATGATCCTCAGCTGATGCCAAACTGGAACCTTCTTTTTTCTCTTCTATTTCTTTTTTCTTTTTTTTGAGACAGGGTCTCACTCTGTTGCCAGGCTGGAGTGCTGTAGTATAATCACAGCTCACTGCAGCCTTGACTTCTCGGGCTCAGGTGAACCACCCACCTCAATGTCCCAGGAAGTTGGAACTACAGGCATGTGTCACCACGCCCAGATAATTTTTTATATATTTTTTTCTAGAGATGGGGGTCTCACTAAGTTTTCCAAGCTGGTCTTGAACTCTTGGGCTCAGGTGATCTGCCCGTCTTGGCCTCCCAAAGTACTGGGATTACAGACATGAACCACCACACCCAGCCTCCCTCTTTTTTCTTCTCGAGGTCCACCTAGCCTCTGTATATCCAGTAACAGATAAATGCCTGCTCAACCCAACAATGCTTGAGTTGGAATTCTTGAGATGATCCATGGGATTTTAATTAATTTCCCACCCTATCCCTGCCAGCAGCATAGTTTCCAACCTGGACAAAGCAAAAAGGAATGCAAAGACACATCAGCCTCTCCTGTTAGGAAGGGCATGGTGGCTGAATTTGTCTGAGGAGGGCCTCGAGATAAAAATAATCCTCCAGAATTAGATTTGATGTCAGAAAATTATTAGTGAGGAAATCTAAGTGCTTGGGGAAGATATTTGGAGTCTGAGTACCTCTCTTTCTAGGTAACAGAGCCACAAATGGTGCACCAAGCCTGGTCTCCAGGAGGATGCAAGGAGCATCTGCTGACCCTCCCAATTTTGAAACCAGCACAAAGGTCTGGATGGTTTCTTTTTTTCTTTTTTTAATTAAAAAATGTTTTTCCAATGCAATCAAAAGGATGGTTTCTTTAGGTGCTCTCTCCGTAGGGTCCGGCCTTTGATGGCTTTGAGGGCTCAGAGCAGTTTGTTTCTGATATGTTTCTCCCTCTCTCTGTAATTACCTCTGTTCTTCCCACTTTTTCTACATCAATCAGAAGTGATTGATACCTTGGACTGTGGAGGAAATGCTGTTGCACTGTGAGTCCTGCATTCCCTTTGGGTTATTTCTGGAGAGGGAAGTTTCTTTTCTTATCCACTGAAGTCTCTTATTTTCTGCTTGGATAAAGATGTATCATGATTTCAAGGATGATTTTAGCTCCACAGAGGCTCTGCTAAAGTCAGCTCAGCTAATTTGCAATCACATGCTGTTTACAACAGTCTTCAGAAATAATTGCGCATATTTTTAAATTCCTACTGTGAAAATGTATATATTTATATTTATATACAAAGATGGCAGTCTCACTATGTTGCCCAGGCTGGTCCTGAACTCTTAGGCTCAAAGGATTCTCCTGCCTCAGCCACCTGAGTACCACCATGCCAGCTTGCATATTATTTTTATATTCAGAAATAAAGTTACAAAAGAGATTTCTCTTTTTTTGAAGGCATTAGGTCACTCCAGAAGTATACCATCTGAAAAAAATCTCTGATATTTATGTCGTCTCATGAAACCCTTGCGTATGCTTTCTTCATTCATGTTGCTAATATGAAAATGAAGATGCTTTTGCATAAACCCTGGGTTTGACAATATTAAAATACATATTCAATTTTTTAACTTTCATAACTGAGCTTTTCCAGTCAAACTGGGCAAAGTCTGATTTTAATTAGGACCTGGTATTCTTCCTTGGAATTAATTAGCTAATTCCACACTAGAGCCAGTATTTTTTTTTTTTTTGAGGCAGAGTCTTACTCTGTCACCCAGGCTGGAGTACAGTGGCATAATCTTGGCTCACTGCAACCTCCGCCTCTCGAGTTCTAGCGGTTCTTCTGCCTCAGCTTCCCAAGTAGCTGGGATTACAGGCATGTGCCACCATGCCCAGCTAATTTTTGTAATTTTAGTAGAGATAGTGTTTCACCATATTGGCCAGGCTGGTCTTGAACTCCTGACCTCATGATCCACCCATCTTGGCCTCCCAAAGTGCTGGAATTACAGGTGTGAGCCACTACACCCGGCCAGAGCCAGGATCTTGAGAACTCTCTGCCTCTGATACTGGGGAGTGGCATCTTGTAAAAAAGGAAGTGTCTGATCTTTAGTGCAAATGAAATTTATCCTTTGTCCTGGGCTCTAGAACTTAAAAAGGAATCTTTGAAATTTTATTCAGATCACCTTGTGCAGTAAAACTGAGTTGCAGAGTGGTCAGAATTCCTAGTCTTTCAATATGTGACTTTAGAAATAATGCGGCATAAATATTCCAAGGAGTTTAGACTAGAGTATAGAAACATGGTTTTGGCCAGGCATGATGGCTCACGCCTGTAATCCCAGCACTTTGGGAGGCTGAGGTGGGTGGATCACTTGAGGAGTTTGAGACCAGCCTGGCCAACATGGTGAAACCCTGCCTCTACCAAAAATACAAAAATTATCTGGGCTTGGTGGTGGGTACCTGTAATCCCAGCTACTTGGGAGGGTGAGGCAGGAGGATCCTTTGAAAGTGGGAGGTAGGGGTTGCAGTGAGCTGAGATGGTGTCACTGCATTCCAGCCTGGGCAACAAAAGGAAGACTCTCTCAAAAAAACCCAAAAACCATGGTTTAAACAACTGGCACGAGGAGATACATCCTGCTCTTCCTCACAACGGATACCACTGGAGAGGTTAGTTAGAAACATTTAAGGCCCTAAGATGAGGATCCCTTCTAAGTGGTTCTATCTGTTCTTCAAGGCGGCAGCTGTGTACAGGATGAATCGGAAGCACAGAGGCCACTGTGTCATTGTCAACAACCACAGCTTTACCTCCCTGAAGGATAGACGAGGAACCTATAAAGATGCTGGTAAGAAAGTCTGGAATAGTTTATCAAATGCAAATTGGGGATCTTAAAAATATTTTTTATTTTCACATTTTCTTTCTGTGACTTTTATCTCCCATATACATATAAGGATGATATCATGTTTCTGAGTCTCTTATATATCCCTGGGGCAGCATCAATCTGCTGAAGAGTGGTAAGAATTTCTGACTGTTTACAACTCTGAATAGGGGAGAGCATGTACCGGGGAGAGCATGCTGGATTGATATGAGAAAACCTGGGTGTGAGCTCCAGCTCCACCACTACCTAGGTTTGTGATGGTTGGAGAGTCGAGAGACCTTGGCTTCTTCAACTGTGGAACAGGATGAAACATTGGCCATGGCCAATTTTCAGGACTGTTGTGACGACGCTGGCTATTACATGATAAGAGATTCATTGTAAGATTTTATTTTTATGAAAATAAAAATGGCCAGGCATGGTGGCTCACACCTGTAATCCCAGCACTTTGGAAGGCTGAGGCGGGCAGATCATGAGGTCAAGAGATACAGACCATCCTGGCCAACATGGTGAAACCCCAACTCTAATGATAAGACAAAAATTAGCTGGGTGTGGTGGTGCCTGCCTATAGTCCCAGCTACTCGTGAGGCTGAGGCAGGAGAATTGCTTGAACCCGGGTGGCGGATGTTGCAGTGAGCCAAGATCACGCCACTGCACTCCAGCCTGGCGACAGAGTAAGACTCTGTCTCAAAAAAAAAAAAAAGGTAATTTAAAGCTTTAGGTCTTTTGCTGTGCAATTTTTGTAACTATTATCATTGTTTCAGTTCTGGGTATTTTTTTTTTTTTTTTGAGACAGTCTTGCAATGTTGCCCAGGCTGGAGTGCAGCAGTGCAATCCCTGCACCTGGCTAATTTTTGCATTTTTAGTAGAGATGGGGTTTCACCATGTTGGCTAGACTGGTCTCAAACTCCTGACCTCAAGTGATCCTCCTGCCTCGGCCTCCCCAAGTGCTGGGATTACAGTGAGATACCATGTCCAGTCTTGTTTTAGTTCCTCATTTTGTTTTGCTTCATTTTATTATTTCCCGTTTCTCTCTTTCTCTCTCTCTTTTAAAACAGAGATCCTGAGGCGTGTGTTCAACTGGCTTGGGTTCACAGTGTGCACATACAATAATGTGACGAGAGGGCGCATGGAGGAGGTCCTGCAGGAGCAGAAGTGCAATCCAGAACATGTCAATGGGGACTGCTTTGTGTTCTGTATTCTGACCCATGGGAAATTTGGAGCTGTCTACTCTTCAGATGAGGCCCTCATTCCCATTCGGGAGATCATGTCTCACTTCACAGCCCTGCAGTGCCCTGGACTGGCTAAAAAACCTAAACTCTTTTTCATCCAGGCCTGCCAGGGTGATGAGATACAGCCTTCTGTCTCCATCGAAGCAGATGCTCTGAACCCTGAGCAGCAGCCCACTTCCCTGCAGGGAATACTGCAGGACAGTATTCCTGTCGAGGCTGACTTCCTGCTTGGTCTGGCCACTGTCCCAGGCTATGTATCCTTTCGGGATGTGCAGGAAGGCAGCTGGTATATTCAGTCTCTGTGTAATCATCTGAAAACATTGGTCCCAAGGTGAGAGATCTTTTATTCTTCTATTTTTAATTAATTAATTTTATTTATTTATTTATTTTACTCTCATTCAACACCTTTGGTAAGGGTGAGAGTTCTAAGTTGTTTCATCTATGAACCTGTTCATTCATCTGCCTACCTTCCTGTTTATCTACCCATCTATCCATCCATCCGTCCATCCATCCAACAACCTTGTATTGAGTACCAGCATGGATCTGGAAAGAAAGATACGGAATTAAAAAAAGACAGAGTTCTTGCCCTCAGGTTGCTTACAATCTAGAAGGATAGACAAACAAATAGACAGGGAAGGACATCCCCAGCTGGTAAGTGTACACTGTGATGTATAGGTGTTAATGGGAACATGCAGGATGAGTACCTTTCCCATATTTGAAGGATCAGAGGAGGCTTCTAGAAATAACGAATAGATGTTAGGCAAAAATCAGGTGAGAGATGTGCTGGGCAGAGGGAATAGCATGGACAAAAGAATGGGGGCCTTTTATTTGTTCCTTTGTTTATTTGTCAGTCCTGAGCACCTATGTGCTGTCTTTGGCATTCTCTTTGCCACTGCTCTGACAGCTTCCCTTCTGTCTCTGCCACATGCTACCCTCCTAACAGCTTTAGCTTTACCTAGAGGCCATGGGTGCCTCCATGAAAATGTCTCCAAAGTTGCCGTCTCTGGCCCACTCATCTCTGAATTCCTGGGGAGTAGAGACCCTGTTTTAGTCAACTCGATATCCTCAGCCCCTGACCTGATATACTGTGAACCTGATAAACATTTTCTGGGCCAGTGAATGACGTCGTGCCTGAGCCAATCTCATTAATAGCCCACTAGATATCTTACCTCTGTTTAGCCCTTGGACCTCACATTCAGCATGCATGTTTCTAAGCTCATCTCCCCAGCCTTCTCCAGGAGCTCCTACTCCTGAATTCCCATCTGGAGGAATGGCCATAGTGTTCTTCTGGGAGTTCAGGATTGGAGCCTTGAGTCAACTTTGCTTTTCTCTCTTCTTTACCAGCCCCTCCATCTCTACCACAGACATCAGAGGCTAATGTCTATGGCTTCAGGAACAAGGCAATATTTATTGAGGGCATACTATGTGCTTACTGTACTGGGTACTGAACTGGGGGCTGGGGATGCAGCCTGTGTACAAGAGAGACAAAATCTGCTCTCCAGGGAGCTAAAAGTCCAGTGAAGGAAAGACAGATAATAAAAATGTAAGTGAATATTTAAATTATTATTATTTTAAAAATTCAACAGTATTAAAAGGAGACAGTATACATGCATGATTAAGAAATGCCTGTTTTTTTTAATATTCCAGAAATTTCTTTGTTATTTTTAATTGATACTTAATAATTGTACATATTTTGGGGATATAATTTGATGTTTCAGTACATATATGTGTTGTATAATGATCAAATCAGGGTAGCTAGTTATCCATCACTTCATGCATGTATCTTGTTTTTGTGGTGAGAACCTCTAAAAGTCTCTCTTCTAGCTATTTTATAATATATAACACCTTATTGATTGATTGATTGATTGATTTAGATATGGGATCTCACCATGTTGCCCAGGCTGGTCTTGAGCTCCTGGGCTCAAGCAATCCTCCTGACTTAGCCTTGAAGTAACTAGGATTATAAGCTCAACCCACTGTGCCCAGCTCAGAATGCCTTGCTGTTAACCACAGTCACCCCACTGTGCAATAAATAGAACACCCGAGATTATTCCTCCTATCTAATTGTAACTTTGTACGCATTGACTAACCTCTCCTCATCTTCCCTTCCCTCCTTCCCTCTCTCATCTCCGTAATGGCGGTTCTACTCCCTGCTTCTATGACATCAACTTTTAAAACAAAGATTCCACATGAGTGAGAACATGCAGGTTTTTTTCTGTTTCTGGCTTATTTTACTTAACATGATATTCTCTGGGTTCATTCACGTTGTCAGAAATGTCAAGATTTTCTTCTTCTTTATGGCTGAATGGTATTCCATTATAAACATCACATGTTCTTGATCCATATATATCCATTTTTGGACACTTAGGTTGATTCCATATCTCGGCTATTATAAATAATGCTGCAGTAAATAGGGGAGTGCAGGTATCTCTTTGACATATTGATTGCATTTCCTTAGACTGTATACTTGGTATGGAGATTGCTGGATCATGTAGTATTTTTATTTTTAATTTTTTGAGGAACTGGCATACTATTTTCCATAATGGCTTACTAATTTACAATAGCACCGACAGTGTGTAAGTGTCCCCTTTTCTCCAGATCCTTGCCAACATGTATTTTGGTTGTTTTTTGTTTCTTTGATAATAGTCGTTCTAATTTGAACGAAGCGGCATCTCTCTGTGTTTGTTTGTTTTTGAGACAAGGTCTCGCTCTGTCACCTAGGCTGAAGCGCAGTGGCACAATCTTCGCTTATTGCAGCCTCTGCCTCCCAGGTTTAAGCAATTCTCCTGCCTCAGCCTCCTGAATAGCTGGGATTACAGGCATGCACCACCATGCCTGGCTAATTTTTGTATTTTTAGTAGAGACAGGGTTTTACCACATTGGCCAGGCTGGTCTTGAACTCCTGACCTCAAGTGATCCGCCCACTTTGGCCTCCCAAAGTGCTGGTATGACAGGTGTGTGCCACTGTGCCTGGCTGTCACTGTGGTTTTGATTTGCATTTCCCTGATGATTAACGATGTTGAGCATTTTTTCCTATACCTGTGGAGCATTTGTATGTTTTCTTTTGAGAAATGTCTATTAAAGTCTTTTACCCATTTTTAAATAGGATTATTATTATTATGTTTTTTTTCTGTTGAGTTGTTTACATTTCTTGTATATTCTGGATGTTAACCCCTTGTGAAGTTAATATCCAGATAGTTTGCAAGCTTTTTTTTTTTCCATTTTGTAGATTGTCTCTTCACTCTGGTTTTTCTTTTCTGTGCAAAAGAGTTTTAATTTGATGTAATCCCATTTATCTATTTTTGCTTTTGTTGTCTGTGCTTTTGAGGTCTTATTTTAAAAATCCTTGCCCAACCCAATGTCATGATATATTTGGCCTATGTTTTCTTCCAGTAGCATCATAGTTTCAGGTTTTATATTTTATCTTATGCATTTTAAGTTGGTTTTTGTATATGATGATGAGAGATAAGTGTTTAGTTTCATTTTTCTTCATGTGAATGTCCAATTTTCCCAACACCATTTTTTGAAGGGATTCTCTTTTACCCACTGTATGTTCTTGGCACCTTTGTCAAAAATCAGTTGGCTTTAGGTGTGTGAATTTATTTCTGGGGTCTCTATTCTGTTCCATTGATCTATGTGTCTGTTTTTATCCCAGTATCATGATGTTTTGGTAACTCTAGATTTGTAGTATATTTTGAAGTCAGATAGTGTGATGCCTCCAGCTTGCTTTTTTTGCTCAGCATGCTTTCACTATTTGGGGTCTTTTATGGCTCCACATACATTTTAGGCTTCTTTTTTCCTGTTTCTATGAAGAATGTAATTTTTTTGCTTGTTTTTGTTTTGTTTTGTTGTACAGATGGGGTCTTGCTGTGTTGTCCAGGTTAGACTTGAACTCCTGGGCTCAAGCAATCCTCCCACCTCATACTCCTGAGTAGCTGGGATTACAGGCATTTGCCACTGCACTTAGCTTGTCACTGGTATCTTGATAGGGACTGCATTAAGTCTGTAGGTCACCTTGGGTACTATGGTCATGTTAATGAGATTAATTCTTCCAACCCATGAACACAAGATATCGTTCCATTTGTTTGTGTCCTTTTCACTTTCTTTCATCAATGTTTTATAGTTTTCAGTGGTTAATATCTAAATTAATGAGACTTTAATTATTTAATAATTTTAGGTATTTAATTATTAATTAATATTAATTTAAATGACATTTAAATTAATAAGAAAAAACTTTTCTAGGTGTGGTGGCATGTACTTGTAGTCCTAGCTACTAGGGAGTCTGAAGTGGGAGGATTGCTTAGGCCCAGAAGTTTGAGGCTATTGTGAGTTGTGATCGCACTGCACTCTAGCCTGGGCAACAGAGTAAGATCCTGTCTCTAAAAACAAGAGACAATTTCAGGAAGTGATACCTGCCATGAACAAATCAAAACAGGATAATGATAGCTTGTTGGTGGAGGTAATATTTCAGGTGAGACTAAGTGATAAGAAGGAACCAGACACAGGAAGATTTGGGAATAGAGAGCAGGTGCAAAGCAAGATGCAGGGATTGAGAACAGGTCAGGACCCGCATCCCCTACCTGAAAAACAGTGATGGTGAGGATGAGGGGATGAGAGTAGTCATACTTATTCTAAAAATGATGGTCAGCAGAGCAGTGTAGCCAGTGTTCTAAGTGCTTCACCTGATATATGTTCTTTAATTCTCTTGGCAACTCCTAAGATGGGTCCCTATTTTAGAGCTGGGAAAACTGAGGCACGGAGCAGTGAGTAACCAGCCTACGACCACACAATGAATGAGTGATGGAGCCACAATTCAAAATTGAATCTGTCTTCAGAACCTGTGCTTGCTTCCAGTGATATGTATTGGCCACCCTGAGAATGTTCTGCTAAATGCTGTATGTCCTGCAAGCCCAGGCTCAAATGCTACCACCTGCATAAAGCCTTCTCTCTCCCTCCCAACCGGAAGTGTGTTCTCCTCTGAACTTGCAGTGGAACCTGGACCTTTCATTTGGTGTTGACCACACTCTGCCTTGTGTTATGAATATTGTGTATATGCCATCCTTGGTAAATGTTTTATATCTGCATTTTAAGTGTTTAACTCCAGGAATTGTGTCATGTTTATTTTTGGATCTCTCCCAAGACTACAGAGAGGGCATTGTTGGTATCTGTGGAATCTGCTGCAGATTTATTGATCTAAGACCTGGTACATGTTACCTAGTGTCTTTTCTAAGACTTGATGTGTGGTTTCTACCTCCTGGTTGAAAAAAATTTTCTTCTCTGAGCCAGGCATAGTGGCTCATGCCTGTAATTCCAGCACTTTGGGAGGCTGAGGTGGGCAGATCACCTCAGGTCAGGGGTTTGAGACCAGCCTGGGCAAGCAATATGGTGAAACTCGGTCTTTACTAACTGGCCGAATGTGGTAGCACCTTTAATCCCAGCTACTTGGGAGGCTGAGGCATGAGAATCACTTGAATCTAGGAGGTGGAGGCTGCAGTGAGCCGAGATCACACCACTGCACTCCAGCCTGGGTGACAGAGTGAGATTTTGTAAAAAAAAAAATTTTTTTCTTCTCTGTTGCAGACATGAAGACATCTTAGCCATCCTCACTGCTGTCAACAATGATGTGAGTCAACGAGCAGACAAACAGGGAACAAAGAAACAGATGCCCCAGCCTGCTTTCACACTAAGGAAAAAACTCATATTCCCTGTGCCCCTGGATGAACTTTCATTATAGCAGAGAGTCTTTGTTGGTTCTTAGACTTCAAATGAATTATTGGCTGCATCCTCCAACCTCCTGCCCAGCACAGAAATTGGCGGTCTTCACCTGTCATTCTAGAAACAGGAAACACCCTGTTTTCTGACACAGTCAGTCTGTTTTTTTCTTTTTCTTTTGATAAGTCTAAATGTTAGAAAACTTTTTTTTTTTAAACTTTCTTTTTTTTGGAGACAGTCTCACTCTTGTCACCCAGACTGGAGTACAGTGGGGCAATCACAGGTCACTGTAGTCTTGACCTCCTGGGCTCAAGCTATCCTCCCACCTCAGCTTCCCAAGTAGTTGGGACTACAGATGTATATCACCATGCCTGGCTACTTTTTATTCTTTATTTTATGTAGAAATGGAGGTGTCTCACTTTGTTGCACAGGCTGGTCTCAAACTCCTGGGCTCAAGTGATCCTCCCACCTCCACCCCCAAAATGCTGGGTTTATAGGCATGAGTCACCATGCCTGGCCAGAAAACTTTCATTATTGAAGACTTGGATTGTAGCCTTGGTTTTGGATGCGTACCCTGAAGAGAGAGTAGTTGGCCTTGGTTTGTGTAGGTACTGTGTTTTTGAGACAAGGTCACTTCATCACCTGGGCTGGAGTGCACTGGTGGGATCACAGCTCACTGCAGCCTTGACCTCCCAGGTTCAAGCAATCCTCCCACCTCAACCTCCCAAGTAGCTAAGACTACAGATGTGTGTCCATGCCCAGCCAACTTTTGTATTTTTTTTGTAGAGATGGGGCTTCGCTATGTTGCCCAAGCTAGTCTCAAACTCCTGGGCTCAAGCGATCCTCCGACCTCAGGTTCTCAAAGTGTTGGGACTCCAGGCGTGAACCACTGTGCCTGGCCTGGGTACATTTTAAGGTTCCTTGGTGCTCAAAGAACCACCGTTCTTAGCCGAGGCAGCTTAGATTGCCTCTCTAGGCAACTGTCTCTTAGTTATAATTCTGTGTCCCCTCTGCATGAACATTGGACAATGAGGTCACAGTTCACCCACTCCCTCCTCTGATTTCCCCCTTCCTAAGACTTCTCTTCTACACATCTGGTGAGGTGAAAATTTGGTCTATGCCAGGCCCATTTCCTGCTTTTGTATAAGGAAGGAGCTCACGCAGGAAGTTTTTCTTGGGTTGGAGACAGGTTTCCCTGTAGGAAGATGATGGCTCATTTACACTCAGCTGCTCTGCAAGCAGAAACTTTACAGCCTGATGTCAAATTCCATTTTGGACTGGGTGTGGTGGCTCGTGCCTGTAATCCCAGTACTTTGGGAGTCCGAGGCAGGCGGATCACTGAGGTCAGGAGTTTGAGACCAGCTCCAGTTTGGTGATACCAAACTGACACTACCAAAAAGACAAAAATTAGCCAGGCATGGTGGTGGGCACCTGTAATCTCTGCTACTCAGGAGACTGAGGCAGGAGAATCTCGAACCTAGGAGGTGGAAGCTGCTGTGAGCCAAGATCAAACCACTGCATTCTAGCCTGGGCAACAGAGTGAGACCTTGTCTCAAAAAAAAAAATTCTATTTTGGGGTTGGAACCTTTCAGGGGCCATTGACAGAACACCCAATTCAAATGGACTGAAGCAAAGAAGAGAATTTATTGCTGGTTCACATGGAAACCCAGGAATGGATAGTACCTGCTTTAGGCAAAGCTTGAATCAGGACTCAATCTACAGGGCAGCACCTTTCTCTTGGCTGGATTTCCTCAGGGCTGGCAGCTGTAGTGTAGACAGTGCCCACCTTGTCACTACTACTACAGTTTGCTCCTCTGGCCCAAGGGATGAGGAGAGAGGCTGCCCCAGAGACTGAAGCTGTTCTCAGGATCACTGGGCTCTTATTGGCCCGAGGGATGTCTGGCTTGCCTGAAGGGAATGGCTTTGTATGGATGCCTTGATGCTTTCTTCATTAAGATTTTGAACATTTTTATGTACTTGAGTTTTTTTTTTTCTATTTATAGAGGAAATCTTTCTTTAATTCCTGGAACCCTATTTTGAATCTTTGAAGGTGTGCCCTGGTAGGGAGATCCAAAGTCCTGTGGTTAATACCTTCCTTTATAGATAAGGCAGCTGAGGCCTGGGGAAATGAACAACCTCACAGCCCTTGTTTACTGGATTTTACTTCAGCCAGGTAAACTGGAATGCCATGGGGTGTGGCAGGACATTAGGCTTTTTTTTTGATATGTAAATCCTTATAAAAATATAAAGGAATGAAGAAAAACAACTCTCAGCCATGCCTGAATTTTTTTTTTTTTCTTTTCGAGACGGAGTTTCACTCTTGTTGTTCAGGCTGGAGTGCAATGATCTCAGCTCTGCCTCCCAAGTTCAAGCAATTCTCCTGCCTCAGCCTCTCGAGTAGCTGAGATTACAGGCACGTGCCACCACGTCTGGCTAATTTTGTATTCTTAGTAGAGACAAGGTCTCTTCATGTTGGTCAGGCTGTTTTTGAACTCCTGACCTCTGGTGATCTGCCTGCCTCAGCCTCCCAAAGTGCTGGGATTACAGGTGTGAGCCACTGCATCCGGCCTATGGTGCCTGAATTTATAATTATTTATGAGAAAGTCAAATTTGTTTACAGTAAATTTGCTCTAAGAAGTATTCATAAGAACACTGTTCTGGTGTCTCTGGTCGTCATGTGGATTTGAATGTAACTTGACAGAGGAAATGTCTAATCCATATTGACAGAGCAGAAGCACCATCATCTCAGACAAACGCCGCCACTTTAAGTTCCAGTTCCCTTTCTAGCCTCATGCATTTCAGAGAAATCACTTCTCTTCTAACAACAAGCAGCTAGAAAGAGAAGACAGTAAAACACAGATAAGACAGCTGGACACAGAGGGAGGTGGGGGGCATGTCTCTTGGGTAACTGCCAAACTTCACCTTTACACAATGGGCCTCAGTAAAACAATGGGCTTTTATAAGCACATTCCTTTCCTTTCAGGTACACTAATATAGAGAAGCTAAAAGCAGACTCAGGGAGGGGTGGGTATGCCTGCAGCTGCAGAAGGATGTTTGGGAATAGACACACAACTCTGCCTCTCAGATAAGCACAACAAAGAGACACCGAAGCAGTCCAAGCCTCTGGTAAACGTCCCACCCTAAATCCTTAAAAACTCTGTAAGAGAGTGGGCTCTGACCTAACTTGGCCAGAAGCCCCTCTTATGTTAGTTTTCTCTAAAATAAACCTGTCCTTAACTGTCAAGCCACCTTTCATGTTTCTTTTCTCTTTCTTTAATTCTTATACATGTATCAGGATGATGATCCCTCAAAACCATGTTCATAATAGTCCAGGCTAAAAGCTAGTGGCCACTGTTTGTCCAGTTGGCAGAACATAGCCTTTGACCATGTAACAGTCCTTCCCTGCAAGTGAAGGATGGCGAGGTACTAAGAGAAGAGTGAAGGATCTGGAGATCAAAGTCCTGCATTTCCGTTTTGTCCTGTGGTTCCTTTGCTCAGAAACACTAACTAAATCAGGCTAGCTGTTTTCAGCCTTATCTGTAAAGTAGAGAAAACATGAGCTGTTGGGAAGATGAAAAAGAATGTGTACATGTGCATCTATTTAAATCTAACCGTGCTAAGGCGCATATAAGGCCTTTAGGTGGTAGGGTCTTCTGGTTGTAATTGCCACAGAAATAGCAGGGCTTAAGTTCCTTTGTGTGTAACTCCAGCTGACTTTATTAGCAGCAACTCAACACTAGCAGTACCCCTGACATACTCTGAGTACGACCTAATTCTTCCCTCACTGGTTCATGATGTCCACAGCAGCAGAAGGCCAGCTCTTGCTCTGAGCCAAGTTGAACAAAATGCTGTTGATAAAACCTCATTCATCAGGAGCATTTGGGGTTTGATGTTTAAGTTTTGGGCCTCTGGTGTGTATCATATTTCTGTTTTGTTAGAACTTAGTGCTTGTGCAAGATTAAATTCTAGAATCAGGCAATGTTCTTTTTAGAGGCCTCCAGCAAGCACTTTGGAGGTCTGTGAATATTTACAGCTGTGAGTCGTGGGTCTAGCCAGACACCAGAGCATAGACATCCTTGGCTCATTCCTCAGAGGGAGGTGTGCACAGTTGGTAGAGTGCGCCCTTCAAGATTTTGTGAAACATGAAGTTTGTTTATATTTGGGTGCGAATGTCTGTGTGAATTTTGAGTTCAAAAATAACAGGTGATTTGATCACAGCTATTTGACAGTGGTGATAGTCATTGTATGCCAAGACGTTTATGAAGGGAATAGGCAGATTGACTGAGGTTCCTATATATTTTTCCTAGTTTTACTCACCTACAATAGCTGTAATTAAATGTTTCTATTTTTCCCCTTTTTTCTCTCTTTTATTAATTTTTTATTTTTTTTGAAATGAAGTCTTGCTCTCTCACCCAGGCTGGAGTGCAGTGGTGCGATCTTGACTCACTGCAACCTCCATCTCCTGGGTTCAGTAATTCTCCTGCCTCAGCCTTCTGAGTAGCTGGGATTACAGGCGTGCACCACCATACCTGGCTAATTTTCATATTTCCAGGTGAAATGGGGTTTTCCCATGTTGGCCAGGCTAATCTCAAACTCCTGACCTCAGGTGATCTGCCCACTTTGGCTTCCCAAAGGAGTGAGCCATCATGCCTGGCCTCATTCATTATTTCATAAAAGTTTAGATACTGCCAAACAAAATTAAAGCCATGAAAACTTTGATAAAGTGTTATTACAAATGTTACTGTAATTTAACTACTGGTGTTTATTTTTATTAGAGCCACAGCACCTACTTGCCTCTGCTGCAGGGACTCAATGGTGGTGGGCAGGTTTGATATTACTGGGCTTACCCTTAGCAATGCATTCTATTGTACCTGTGCCTAGGCAGTGTTAAATATATAAGCATCCACTGTAAGCGTACTGGATGCACAGGTGGAATAGAATGCATTGCTACGGGTAAGCCCAGTGATATCAAATCTGCCCACCACCATTGTGGTGCTTATATAAGCATCTGACCCATCGGAACAGACACTGACTGGTACAACACCATGGTCAATGTTGCCAAATAGCAGCCCTTAATCAATAATGATCAAATCCTCAGAGGTAGACTAATTAGAAGTTTACCTCATAAAGGTAATTTTTGTGCCACATCTAATTCACAGAATCTTCTAAGTTGGATGCTTTCTGAATGATCTGGCCAAGTTGTTCTCAGCCTGGAATTCTTGGGCTCTTGGGTGTTTATGAATTTGTTCTCAGAGCCTCTGAGCTCTCCACCTTCATTTTTAAGTGTTTTAACTCTTTTTTGGTGATAATCTTTAAAGCTTCACAGATGTCACTGGGCACAGTGGCTCATGTGTGTAATCCCAGCACTTTGGGAGGCCGAGGCGGGTGGATCACGAGATCAGGAGCTCGAGACCAGCCTGACCAACATGGTGAAAACACATCTCTACTAAAAATACAAAATACAAACAAAAAAAAACCCCAGAGCAATAACAACCTCAAAAAACTCACAGATGTGTGTCCTGGCTCTTCGAGGTGACTGCTTCACATTTGAGTACTGCCACACAATGGTTGCTCATGTTCTGGGGCCTGCCCACAGAAAGTGATGAACTTTACCTTGAATTTTTTAATGTAGCGTGGATGGGCATCTGTAGGTCTTCAGGTGCCAGTGGTGAATCTGTTTGAAGCTTGCTTCGCTCCATCCTCTCTTTCCATGACAGACTCCTCCTCCACCATCCCTCACCTCTGCTGAACGCTTTTAGCAGAGGGAACTCACCACAAGTGGGGGTATGGATTTGGGAGCTTGAAAGGACCCCAGTGACCCTGCAGTCCAGCCCTCTGAGTACTCAGTGATTTACTGAAGCCTCACAGCCGTTGCTGGAGGATTTGCAATTCTTTGTTTCTCTGGATTTGCCACCCTGTCCCTTCAAGCCACCTGGTTTCCCTTTTGGACAGCTTTAATTGTTCTCTGTTCGACTGGAAGCTGCCTCCTTAGAAACTACTTAAAACCACTGGGTTTCATTCTGAACTCCAGAGCCACACCAAGCAAGTGTAACTGTCCTCTAGTGAGACTGGCATTGTATGTGACAAATTATTTAACTTTTTTTCTGGAAGAGTTTCAGTTTTGTTGGAAGTCTGCAGTTTGCTCTTAAGGATATAAGAATGTAGCAACACATTTGTATCTTTAAATTTTAAGTATGAATTAAAATTTTAAATTTAGTTTAGTTTCGTTTGAGGCAGGGTCTCACTGTGTCACCCAGGCTGGAGTGCGGTGGTACCACCTTGGCTCACTGCAACCTCTGCCTCCTCTGCTCAAGTGATCCTCCCACCTGAACCTCCTGAGTAGCAGATGAGACTACAGGCAGGTTTTTTTTTAAACTGAACTTTTTTCTGGTAGGGTTTTAGTCTCGTTGGAAGTCTGCAGTTTGCTCTTAAGGATGTGATAAGAATGTAGAACACATTTATATCTTTGGATTTTGAATAGGAACTAAAATTTTCTTTTTCTTTTTCCTTTTTTTTTTTGAGACAGGGTCTTACTTTGTCAACCAGGCTGGAGTATTGTGACCCGATCATAGTGTACTGCAGGCTGGACCTCCTGGACTCAAACAGTCCTCCTGCCTCAGTCTCCCCTACAGGCAGGCACATGCCACGATGCCTGGCTAATTTGTGTATTTTTAAATATTTATTATTATTTTTTGAGATGGAGCTCACTCTTGTTGCCCAGGCTGGGGTGCAATGGCGCTATCTTGGCTCACTGCATTCTCTGCCTCCTGGGTTCTAACGATTCTCCTGCCTCAGCCTCCTGAGTAGCTGGGATTACAGGCATGTGCCACCATGCCCAGCTAATTTTGTATTTTTAGTAGGGATGGGGTTTCTCCATGTTGGTCAGGCTGGTCTCGAACTCCTGAACTCAGGTGATCTGCCCGCCTAGGCCTCCCAAAGTGCTGGGATTATAGGTGTGAGCCACCGCACTTGGCCAGGAACTAAATTTTAAAATTTAGTTTAGTTTTGTTTGAGACAGGGTCTTACTGCGTCACCCAGGCTGGAATGCAGTGGTATCATCTTGGCTCACTGCAACTTCTGCCTCCTGTGCTATAGAGATCCTCCCACCTGAACCTCCTGAGTAGCAGCTGGGACTACAGGCAGGTGTTTTTCAAAACTGGAACTCTTAATACATTAAAAAAAAATGGAATCTTTTTAAAAAAGCACTAGAGGAAATTTTGTGTTTAAATATTTGCTTATTTGGCAAAGTAAACAACTATTTATTTCCTAACATAACTTTTGCAAATCTAAATTTTTATAAAAAGATTTTTAAATTAAAAAAATTTAATTGTACTTTTACTTTTTAAAGTAAAAGTACAAAATTTAATGTTGAGTAGGTAATATTTGTATAAAGATATTCATATTGTTTGAAGATAAGAAAATATATCAAAGGTGTCCAAGGAGAGTATTGCCCCCAATTCTGTCCACGTATACCCAGTCCTCCCCACTTCTACAGACATATTTCAGATAGGTATTTCTTGAAAGAAAGAACATATGCTGTGAAATTTATCATTAGTTCTTATTTTAAGTGATTCTGTAAAATGCCTGGGAAATACTGATAAAATTCTAGAATGGAAATAACTTTGTGAGATTTTGAACCAAGTATTTGTAAATAGTAGAAATGGACTCACTAATAAATAAAGGAATTTTATTTGATAACTTTTTTCTGATTACATAGTAATGTATGTTCATTATGGAGTATTTGGGAAATACAAAAACACACAAAGAAAAAAGTATATTCATTTATAATTCCATTTTGATATGTATTTTCCCATTATTCACTCTGCATTTGTCACAGATTTCCCCCACCCTTTTTCAAGGAGTATATCCTCCATGTCTCCCCAGTCATGCATCCAGTAAATTTGTCATTACTACTGTGTGTACTTTCACTCACATTTCAATTCCAAGCATGTCCCTCTCTGACAACCACCTCCCATCATTCCATCTTGCTTCTTTTGGGACCTTCCCCTCAAGGAACTTCAGTGCCACTGGGGCTTCCAGTTAGGTTGATTGGCCCCATCTATTGTCTTTCCAATGTCAGCACCGCCCCTCACTCCCTCTTCATTCAGCTTAGTGTCGCGTCTTTGTTACAGTCTCATGTACCCACCAACATCCTTGCCTTTCCTATTCCACTGAGGTGGGAGAATCCCAACTCTGGCTAAACCCATAAATCTGTGCCCTCCGAATTTGTACTGGAATTTCAAGGATGTGGGTGGGGTAAAAACATTCCACGTTGCAGACAGGTCTCGTTTAAAACCAATGACCACAAATCTCCAACAGGTTTTTAGGGGTTATGGCAATGCTATGACATTTCCCTGGTTATATTACCCTTTTGCACTCTAAGTCTGTTTTACCGATGATAGAATTCTCTATGACCTCAACCTAAAAGGTTAGAGATATTTCCTGAGAAGTCTCACCTTTTCCCTTGATAACCCACTATGAAGCTATCATTTGTGAATTTAAGAAGAAACGCTTGCTTCTTGATTATTTTAAAACGTCAAAAACAACATTAAAAAATTGAAGGATAAGGCTGGGGCACAGTGGCTCATGCCTGAAATCCCAGCACTTTGGGAGGCCGAGGTGGGTGGATCACTTGAGGCCAGGAGTTCAAGACCAGCCTGGCCAACATAGTGAAACCCTGTCTCTAGTAAAAATGAAAAAATTAGTTGGGCATGGTGATGCACACCTGTGATCCCAGCTACATGAGACGCTGAGGCACGAGAATTGCCTGACTCTGGGAGGTGGAGGTTGCAGTGAGCCAAGATCATGCCACTGCACTTCAGCCTGGGTGACAAAGCAAGACTCTGTCTCAAAACAAAAACGAAAACAAACAAACAAAAAAAAGAAAGGATGAGCCACAAACTGGGAAATGGTATCTGCCCCATTGTATAACTGTTACAGGAGATATGCATACACATATACTGTACATATAATCTGCAAATCCATAATATCTTAAACACACCAATTTAGATGGGGAAAACATAAACTAGTTCAAAGATGAGCTAAAAATACAAACCAGTTATTAAAAGGAAATACCAATGAGCAATAAACATATGAAAACATAACCATTTTCTTTAGTCATCAATTTGAAAAACACAGCCACAGTGAGATGTCATTTTATGCTCGTCATATTATCAACATTTAAAACTCTGTCCATACCAAGTATGGGTGAAGATATGGAGAAAGGGAACTCTATTACATTGATCGAGGAAATGTAAATGGACACAATGATTTTAGAGAACAATGTGCAATATTTATATATGTTGGAAATTTGCACACAGTAAAATCTAGCAATTCCATTTTTGGATCTATATCCCAAAAGTAACTTTAACAAAATTGTTTTGTAGAGACAGGGTCTTGTCATGTTGTACAGGCTGATCTTAAACTCCTGGCCTCAAACAATCTTCCTGCATCAGCCTCCCAAAGTGTTGAAATTATAGGTGTGAGTCACCACGCCTGGCCCCAGAAGAAATCTTGGCCATGTACCAGGAAATAAGGAAGAGTGTTAGTTTTCTGAGCAGTATTTTTTGTAAGAGCACAAAGAAAAGAAAAAAGAAGCATCCCAAACAATCTATATATTCATTAGGAGGAAGATAGATACATTGTGGCATAGTCGTATAAAGGAATAATATCAAGTAGTAAAACAAAATTAACTAGAATTATTTAGGTTGAACTACGTGAAATTGCCATTCTTTTAGATTGGAAACTACCAAATATTGGCAATTTCATACAGTTTAAATATGTGTATCAGAAACATAAGGCTAAGTAAATAATATATATAATATATATATTATATAAATCATGTAATGTTAAAAACACAAATGAGTCTTTTTTTGTTTTTTTATATGTATCCTTTTATTATTATTATTATTTTATTGCATTTTAGGTTTTGGGGTACATGTGAAGAACATGAAAGATTGTTGCCTAGGTACATACATGGCAGTGTGATTTGCTGCCTTCCTCCCCATCACCTATATCTGGCATTTCTTCCCACGAACAAGAGTCTTATGTGTTGCTTAGGAATTCATATGTATATTGTTCAAATAAACGGATGCATGGGAGTGATAAGGAGTTTAGAGTAGTAGTTGCCTGGGATGGGACTGGGATTTGGACATGCCAATGGGGAGGAATTACAGGGTCTTCAAATGCATCAATCATGTTTTATATCTTTAACTGAGTGCTGGATGTCGGGGAGTCTCTTTTTTTCATCCTTTTTTGTGTCTCAATGCTGATTAATGTCATTTAGCCACCAGATTGGGTGATTTATTGGTTTGTTGAATACCTGGCCAGGTTTGCAAGGAAGTTTTGCTCTCTTGGGTAGAGTATATTTTTCCAGTCGAGTACCCATCTGTATCTTTGGTGGTGATTTCTGTGACTGTAGTTAATCAGTGTTGCCAAAGGAAGGATAAGGGGCACTGACTCACTTTTTATTGCCCTGAGCAATTCCTGTTGCAAAATAATGATCTGGATATATTCTCCAGAACAGGAAGCAAGCTGCAGATGGGAAACTGCCTTATGACGCTTCTGAGGGTCCCAAACCGGTTTGTAACAAATCAGTGTGAGTCAAAGTGTTCATCTACAGAATCAGCCATCTTCACCATGACACCCCCCACGTCCAAACTGCTGCTGGCATTCCTCCACTCAGAATGCACAATCAGAAGCTCAGCACTCTATTGGATCAGGCTGCTATTTTACCATTTGCAGAACCTTCAAAAAGCTCTTTAAAGGCCGGGCATGGTGGCTCGCACCTGTAATCCCAGTACTTTGGGAGGTGGAAGCAGGTGGATCACTGGAGGCCAGAAGTATGAGACCAGCCTGGCCGCAATATGGTGGAACCCTGTCTCTACTAAAAATACAAAAATTCGCTTGGCATGGTAATGTATGCCTGTAGTCCCAGCTACTCAGGAGGCTGAGGCACAAGAATTGCTTGAACCCAAGAGGCAGAGGTTGCGGTGAGCCGAGATTATGCCAGTACCACTACACTTCAGCCTGGGCAACAGAGTGAGACTCCCTCTCAAAAAAAAAAAAAAAAAAAGGGAAAAAATTCCTTAGAAACTTGAGAAGGATCCTTCCACTAGGGCAGAAGGGATCAGAGAGTAAGAATCTTCACACCCCCACTCATGCCCTTCTGAATGCTCAGTTGGCCACACTGCAGGGAAACGGTGAGCCAATTTTGGCTTGGGGCTTCTTGCTGCTGCCAAATTAACAATTCTAGCCCTTGGTTCTAGACCTGCTACTGCTAAAAATGCTGGTGAGAGTGAGGGAAAGGTGTTTAGTTCTCATTTTACAGATCAGAAAATCAAGCCCCAGAGATGCTAAGCAGTCTTGGAGCTAGGAGCCACGGCCTCTGCACTTAAGTTACATCTAGAAACATCAGCAAGCCAACTTTATCAACAGTTCCAGGCCTGTAAGAAATGGGCGTCATTTATCTTGAAGATTGTAAACAAATAAAAAAATAGACTGAGCCATTACTGATGAGAAATGTGAATCATTCTGCCAGTAATCGAAAGTACAGCTGCCTGTACAAAAGCTATGCGGTGTCAAGCCTCTCCAGATCCTTGCATGTGACAAACCACTCAGAGTTCCCCTTTTATTTCTCTTTGTGCTCAGTAGGTTGTTGAAATTTCTGAAAAAGACAATGGAAATCAGGGGCAGGAAGAGAACAGTCCGGGGTGCTGAACAGACTCAGATCTCAGCAGCCTCCCTGCCCATGGCCATCTCTGTGCAGACACCTTGACCCCCCACCTACAGGTTTCCTAACCTTCGTAGAGGCTCCCTTCTGCCTGCCCTCCAGCCACATTGCCTGAGATTGACAACGCCCAGTAACAAGACGGAAACTTCCCTGTATGAAACGTCTTTGTACAGCGCCACCTTGCGATTCTGGAACCACAAAGTTGAGACTTCTGAACTTGGCATTCTTCTGCTCCACTGCTGTTTCATGTGTACATGTGTCTATCTCTCTCCTTTCATTGCAAACATACTTCTAAAACTCCCATTTTCTTGATTTAGAAATAGAACTACAAGCAGGTGGCTAAACAATTCAAACAGTACAAAACAGTCCATAGGGAAAAGGGAATTTCATACTGTCCCCCAAACCTTCAGTTCCTTTTATGGACATAATTACTGTTTCTAATGTTTTAAATATTCTTTCAGTGATGTTTTATTCTTAGATAAGCATATGCGTATCTGTGTCCTTCCCTCATTTTCTTCCCGCGAACAGTAGCAGACTGTTTTGCACCTTGGTTATCTCATGTAACACATCTTAGAGACTGCTCTGATTCGGAACACATAGATCTGCTTGATCCTTTTCACGACTGCTACAGCTCCACTGGAGGTGTGGATCATCAGTGATTTAACTAGCACCCTAGTGATGGGTATTTAGGGATTGCAAACTTCATAAGGGCAGAAACAATCTCTCACCCATCCTCTGTTTCTGATATGGTTTGGATGTGTGTCCCTGCCCAATCATAAGTCGAATTGTAAGCCCCAATGTTGGAGGTGGGGCCTGGTGGAGGTGACTGGATCATGGGGTGGATCCTTCATAAATGGTTTAGCATCATCCCTTTGGTGCTGTTCCTGTGATAGAGTTCTTACGAGATCTGGTTGTTTAAAAGTTCATGGCACCTCCCTGCTCCCTTGGTCTTGCTCTTGCCATGTGAGATGGCTGCTCCTGCTTTGCCTTCTGCCGTGAATAATAAAAGCTCTCTGAGGCTTCCCCAGAAGCAGATGCCACTATGCTTCCTGTACCGCCTGTGGAATTGTGAGCCAATTAAACCTCTTCTTCATAAATTACCCAGTCTTAGGCATTTCTTTACAGCAGTGTGAGGACAAGCTAATACAGTTTCCTACACTGTAACCTAAGGCAGGTCTTTGCACAAAGGGATGAGCCAGATTGCTTAGTAATTAAAACGCAAACACAAACCACAAGTATATCCATTTATGAATTGGGAGACAGCTTTTATTTGATTCAGAGTTCTGTTACTTGCTGCTTTGCTTCATTAAAAATGTGCTAGTTCTCATTCAGCTTCCTATCAGTCATACCACCAACCAGCATGTACTAAGCTCTGTATGTGCCAGGTAGGAGGAAACTTAGGGATGTAAGAAACATCCCTCCCTTCTAAGAAATTATAATCTGCTATGGGAGAGAAGACAGTTACTTTTTGGCAAAGTGACATAATAAAAATAATCAAGAAAAGGTGTATTTATTTATTTATTTTTGAGACAGACTCTCACTCTGTCACCAGGCTGGAGTGCAGTGGTGCCATCTGGGCTCACTGCAACCTCCATCTTCCGGGTTCAAGCAATTCTCCTGCCGCAGCCTCTCAAGTAGCTGGGACTATAGGCATGTATCACCATGCCTGGCTAATTTCTAGTATTTTTATTAGAGACGGGGTTCACTGTGTTAGCCAGGATAGTCTCGATCTCCTGATCTCATGATCAGCCTGCCTTGGTCTCCCAAAGTGCTGGGATTACAGGGGCAGGTCAACCGGCCTGGTGAAAAGATGGATTTTTTGAAAAAAGGTGTTAGGATAATTGGGTCTCCACCTGCAAGAAAGTAAAGTTATAAGCCCACCTCAGACCAAGCACACCAGCACAAAAATGCCAAATAGCTTAAAGATACAAATGTTAAAACAAAACTGGAAAGGTATTAAAAGAAAATAGAGTACCAGCAAAAAGTTCCCTCCTGAAGACATAAAAGCCAGAAGTTATAAAGGAAAAGGTTGATAAATTCAAGTAGATAAAAATGTAAAACTTTTGTATAATATAAGACACAAAGAATGCATTTAAAGACATACCATGAAGGTTAGAAAGATGAAGACTGAAGCGGTGGTTACACATTAATATCAATGTACTTAATGTTACTGAACTGTACACTTAAAATGATGAAAATGGTAACTTTTAGGTTATGTATATTTTATCACATAAAAAAAGACATGAAATGAATCAGAGGAAAATATTTGCTACATAACTAAGAATGAAGGTTCTTAATAAAATTTGTAAGACTACGCATACTTTTAGGAATGAATCAACAAAGAATTTCTATGAATTAGAAAAAAGTGACAGTCAGTCCAACTAAAAAATGAATAAGGAATATGAACAAGTGTTTCACAGAAGAAATAAAAATTGACAATGAAGTTATGAAAAATGTTCACTGTCCTTAGTCACTGCACAAAACAAACTAAAACAATGTGACACTGCGAAGATAAGCAAATGTTAAAGAAAAAAAGATTGCTGAGGTAAGGGGAAGTGGGTACTTTTTCTACCATTGGAAATATAAATTGGTGCAGCCTTATAGGGAGAGCAATTTGGCAACATTTTTCAGACTTAATTGCACAACCCTATGGCAGAGCAATTCATTCCTCTTCCACGAACTCTTTTCCTCCTAAAATAGTCAAGTGGATGAAAACACACGTTCACTGCACAGTGTGTAACAGCCAAAAATTGGAAACTATAAAACTCACATTCCTTCAATAGGGGAATGCTTAATACATTTTACAAGCATGAACTAAAAGTTAAGGCCCAGTTAGAGATGGAAAACACACCAGTAATTTGAAAGGGAAAATTTAATAGGAAGAATTATTCACTAGTAAAAGAAGGCTAACTGCTAACGGTACAAGAGCACTCAAGCTGTCTGCAGCCGGCAAGCCCCAGCTGATGAACAGGAAGTTGCCTGCTGGGAGGCTGCCAAAGTTTCCTGAAGGTGACCACCACTGGGTGTTGTTCTACAAGCTGCTGGCAGCCACAACGTTAGAGCAGGAAGAAAAGCACCACAACCCGGAAGAGAAACCCAGGCCTCTGCTAGGCCTTGCAACGTCCCTCTAGCGCCCTCTACTGACAAAGCCTAAAATTGTGCCGGCCGGTAAAGGAGATCTTTTTATGGGATGTAGCTTGGTGTCACCAAGCAGGACAGGGTGAATTTGGAGCTGAGATGCAACACAAAGATTGATACTGGCATAGTATACTCACCCTGCTTTTGTAAATAAAATGGTATATGTGATCTGTGTGTGTATGTATCTATAGATACACAATATTTGTTCCTACTTATTATGTATTTACATCTTTACTCTGCATTACAGGATCTGTTCTAAGTATTTTGCATATATTAACTCACTTGGTTCTCATAATAACCTGCACATGCAGGAATCATTATAGCTACTTTATGAATGAGCCAAGGAAGGCACTGAGACATTAAGTAACTTGCCCAAGGTCACACAGCTAGTAAGTGGCAGAGCAAGAATTACTATGGCTTTATAAGTCTAGGAAAAAGTCTGAAAGAATCAAAATGTCGACAACGGTGATTGCAAGGAAGCATTGAAGGGGCCATGCGAGGGGTTTTCACTTTGTAAAAATCAGTCCTTCAAATAAATAAATACAGTGACACAACTACTGCTTTGTGTTTATGGATAGGGTATTTTTTTAAAACTCATTTTTCAAAGAAGAAGCTAAACTAGTTAATAAACGACAACTTACAGGGCCAGGCAGTAAGAAACAAGTGCCTGATAAACGGTGGAGAATGTGAGCACCCTCCACACGGGTGGGAGGAGACAGGGACGGCTTCTCTGGGGAGCGGCAGTGGCTGGAGCAAAGGTTTGCAGGAGGTGGGTCATGTGCTCTGTGCTGCTGGTTTCTGTTTCACCTTGTGTCTGAGCTGGCTGGAAGGCTGGTTATTCGTCCTGAGCTTCCTGCCTGTCCGTGCCCCGCCAACAGCTTCAGAAGACAGTGACTGGCGGCTGCCTGAGGAATACCCGTGGGCAAGAGAATTAGCATTTATGGAGCATCACTGTCTGTGAGCTGAAGCACTACATATATTGCTTTACTCACTCCCCACAGCAACCTTATCTTTTCCACGTGAAAAGATGGAGGCCGAGTGAAGCAAAAGAAGGTGTTTAGATTCCTCAGCAAGTGAGAGGCAGAGTCGGGATTTGAATCCAGATCTGTCTGATACTGAAGTCCAGGTTGTCTGACACTGAGGTTCCACCTCTCTGGACTGCTTTCCAGAGAGTAAAAGACAGGCCCTTTTCCTCAGCTGGCTGCTTCTAGAAGTCTGACCCTGCTGGCTCACAACTACTTTAGTTTCTTGCCCAGAGGCTATGGGCTGCTGGTCAAGTCACAAGGAGAAGGAGGGCCCAGCCAGAGAGGCTGACATTGGCTTCTACTCACCGTCTTTTCTCCTTCCTTCCAGGAGCAGCCCCTGGGTGTGTCCACTTTCAGGGCCTGTGAGGTTGGACCTTGGCAGCCTGAGCCCTTGAGTTGGCCACTTAAATCTTGGGAATATTGAGGTAAGCCTGGAATTTCCAGAGGAGCTCTGGGGAAAAGAGAAGTGATGAACACTATTACCGTGCTCTGTCTAGACACCAATGGACTGGGTGGAACCAGTGACAGTCGGGATCTACGCGCCCTCGCTTTGGTTATTAATCCATTATTGTTCCCTATAGACTGGTATGAGTGGACGGCGGAATTATTTAGACAAGGTTTGGAGACCCGAACTCTGAGCTAAAATGCGTTGTCTTCCTATAGTGCAGGACCCTACGACGGTGGAGGAGCCGCAGGGGGATACTGGGCGACACCCAGACATTACGCACTAAATGGCAATGGCTCACATAGTGAAAAGTTGTTCTTCATGATTCCCGTACATCAAGGAAAAAACCCACTGTCAGTACTAATATATCTTTTTTTTGAGACAGAGTCTTGCTCTGTTGCCCAGGCTGGAGTGCGGTGGCATGACCTCGGCTCACTGCCACCTCTGCCTCCCGGGTTCAAGCGATTCTTCTGCCTTGGCCTCCCGAGTAGTTGGGATTACAGGTGTGCACCACCATGCCCAGCTAATATTTTGTATTTTTAGTAGAGAAGGGGGTTCACCATAATGGCCAACCTGGTTTCTAACTCCTGACTTCAAGTGATCCGCTCACCTTGGCTTCCTACGTGCTAGGATTACAGGCTTGAACCACCACACCTGGCCAGTACTAATATATCTTATCATGTCTCAAAACATGCGTTTTTCCCTTTTTGACAACAGAGTAGGCAATAGTGTCTAGCTGGAATTAGTAACACTGTTACATTCTCATGTTATTCAGTTTTCCAGTTCCTCTTTTGTGGCAAATGCAATGTTTTTCCATTTGTGGTAGTGATATAAAATGTCCTTTTACAAAAGTTTCATTCAAATTTTTATTTCAGTAAAGGCAGCCAATTAAAAATATAGTAAATTAAAGAACCAGCGATAAGGAATATGACAAACATTGTCAATGTCATTTAGGAATGACTGAAGTGGCCAACTTGGTGACATTTATGCTGAAGGCCAAGATGCTCTGAGAGACAGCATCTGAGGTGCCTGATTCAACTACAGAAGCTCAGGCTGTTTAGGGAAAATTCTAAAATGAGCCCGGGTTAAAGATCAGTGGTTTTTAGGATAATATAAAGGAGCTCTTTGATATCTGAGTCTCACTGCACATTTGCTTTTCTATCTGGGAAGCTTGGGAAGGGAATGGAGCCGACTATGAATGATTGGCAGGAAGTCAGTGATTTCCTAGTTGGCATAAGGAATAGGTGTTACCTGAGACTCCTGACTGGGAAAGAGAAGGAGACGGCAGCATTCATTTACCAGTGGAAGATCTCACTACTTCCCACTTCCAGTTCCTCTCCCTGTGGTCCCATTTTGAACATTTAAAGCTGTCTCTTCTGTTATTTAATTCCACTTTTTTTTTTTTTTTTGAGACAGAGTCTCGCCCTGTCACCCAGGCTGGAATGCAGTGGTGCAATCTCGTCTCGCCACAACCTCCACCTCCCGGGTTCAAGTGATTCTCATCTCAGCCTCCTGAGTAGCTGGGATTACAGGCGCCTGCCTCCACACGTGGCTTTTTTTTTTTTTTTTTTTTGTATTTTTAGTAGAGATGGGGATCTCACCGTGTTGGCCAGGCTGGTCTTGAACTTCTGGCCTCAAGTGATCTGCCCACCTCAGCCTCCCAAAGTGCTGGGAGCTCACAGGCGTGAGCTATAATAAAAGCAATATATAAAAGCAATATACTTATGATTTTATTTCTTGGTTAAGTTCCTACTTATTATGTATTTACCCTGCATGCCAGGAGCTGTTCTAAGAGTTTACATGTATTAACTTGTTTGATTCGCATAATAACCTTCACATGCAGGAATCATTATTATGGTGACCTTATGAAAGAGGAAAGAAAGGCACTAACAATTGATTTTATGTTATTTAGGTTAAGGTTCATTGTGTTGTTCAAATCTTGTATAACTCTACTGCATGTCTGTGTTTCTTACCCATTATCGAGAAGGCAACATAAATATCTTACACTATGACTGTGGATTGTCAATTTCTCATTTGAAAGTTGGAGTTTTCCTTTATGTTTGCCTTATGTGGTGTTAGTCTAATGATATCAGTTGGTACATCTTTTTCCATCCTTGTACTTTCAGTGTTTAGATGTTCTTATACTTGAATTATGTCTGCTGTAAGGTTTTTCTTTTCTTATAGAAAGATATACTCTGGAAAGTTTTCATAAAATTATAGTATTTAGTCTATTTTCATTGAATGTAATTACCAATGTAATTGGGCTGAAATCTGTCTTTCCATTTGTTTTCTGTTTGTCACATCAGTTCACTTTTCTCTACTTTCTTGATTTCTTTGAGATGACTTAGTAATTTCAGAAAGTTCATCCGACCCGTTATTAGCTTGATTGTGCCTTCAGTATTCTCTTAGATGCACTTGAGTTGTGCTGCCAATAGCGCACCTGCGTGCCGTTTAAAACACTTTAATGAGATATGATGGACATACAACAAATGGCACATGAACTACGTAATTTGATAAATTTTGACATAAATGTGACATATATATGACAGACATATAAACACACTCATATATATATATTCATGTGCCATTTCAGTCAATGACAGACCGATATATGATCGCAATCTTATAAGATTATAATACTGTATTTTTACTGTACCATTTCTATGTTTAGACATATTTAGATACGCAAATACTTACGACTGTGTTACAGTTGCCTACAATATTCAATACAGCAACATGCTCTGTAGGTTTGCATCTTATGAGTAATAGTCTAGACCATACAGCCTAGGTGTGTAGTAGGTGATACCATCTAGATTTGCATAGTACAGTCTGTGATGTTGGCATAATGACGAAATCACTGACGATGCATTTCTCAGAAATTATGCCTGTCATTGAGTGATGTGTGACTGTATACATATGGGTGGACCTATCACCGCAGTCAGGATAGTGAACATATATATTAAATCCAAAATATTTCTCATGCCCTCTTGAATCCTGTCTTCCTGCCCCTCCCACCCCTGCTCCTTGGAGGCATTTAGTTCTGTAAATTTCCCCCTAGCTTTGCTTTAGCAGCATCCCGTGCATTTTGATATTTTGTTCTGATTTTAATGTAATTCAAATATTACATAGTTTCCCTTTGATTTCTTTTTTGACCCAGGGATTATTTAGAAGTGTGTTATTTTGTTTCCAAATATTTGGGGATTTTCCAGATACTTTTCTGTTGTCTAAGCCAATAACAAATTTCTGACTCCCTGAAGTCAAAGATCTGACTCCTCAGGGGGAGAGTTACACCCAAGAACCAGCGGTATTTTATGTTAGTGGTCATTGCCAGAGTGAATGCCACAGTGTTTGTGATAAACCCTAATAAACCCACCAGAGGGCAGCAAGCAGACATGAAAATTCTATTAAAAAGTCTTCCCGATCCAGGCAAGCAGATGGGACTCAGGCAGGTGAGGGAAGAAAGGAGCCGGCAAAGCGGATAAACGGAGGGGTAGTCTTTAAAGGAGAATGGAGGAAAATGAGGCTGGGTGGAAGGGAGAAAGGTGACACAAAACTCTATACATATGATCAAATCGTGTTTACACACACACGCACAAACACACACATACATGGATACGCCTGTGGGTAAAAAGATTGCTGCTGAATTTTGTATTTGTTGTTATGCTTTTTGGCATTTCAAAATTATTATTATTATTTTGAGACATGATGTCACGCTGTCACCCAGGCTGGAGTGCAGTGGCATGATCTTGGCTCACTGCAACCTTTACCTCCCAGGCTTAAGTGATCCTCTCACTTCAGCCTCCCGAGTAGCTGGGACCCTGAGTGCATGCCAGCACGACCGGCTAATTTTTGGTATTTTTTAAAGAGATGGGGTTTCATCATGTTGCCTAGGCTGGTCTTGAACTTCTGAGCTCAGGCAATCCACCCTCTTCGGCCTCCTAAAGGGCTAGGATTACGGGTGTGAGCAGGAGAGGTCAAGGAGATGCTCCTTGTTTGGTAAGGAGGGCAGAGACGCATGCACTATGGCCGAGAGGGCTTAGACCCAAATGGCAGGGTTTCTTTTTTTCTGAATTAATTGAGACCATTTTGAAATATGTAATGAACTAGACTATTCAGTTAATAAATGCAAGCACATAGGAGCAGAATGAAGACACTCATGACAAACTCTGAGTTTTAATTACTTGAGAACATAAGGGAATTTAGGGGGAAGAAAGTCTGTTTGCCATGAGCCTAAATTACATTGTGGGGCCTTGGTTTTTTCAACAACCCCAAAGCTTTCTTCACATGACAAAGATACTAAAAGCAGCTACTGAACTTCCATTCTGTAAGGTGCGTCTATCAAGAAGCCAGTGATGCAATGTGGGGAGTAGAGATGAGGGAATAAAGAAAATTAGCAGATCCTGAAGGCTCACCTGGATCCTTTCCAGGGCACATTTTCCCCTCTGAATTTAAGTATATAACTATACAAAACAAACAGGAAGAAAGGTGTGGCATAATTTTTCTTTTTCTGTTTTTTAGAGACAGAGTTTGGCTCTGTGGCCCAGGCTGGAATGCAATGGTGCGATCTGGGCTTGCGGCAATCTTGCCCCACTGCAGACTTGACCTCCCAGGCTCAAGTGATTCTCCCACCTCTGCTCCCCACCCCCAAGTAGCTGGACTACAGGAGTGCACCTCCACACCTGGCTAATTTTTGCATATTTTGTAAAGATGGGGTTTCATCATGTTTCCCAGGCTTGTTTTGAACTCCTGAGCTCAAGCTATCCATCTGCCTCAGCTGCCCAAAGTGCTGAGATAACAGGTGTGAGCCACTGTGCCTGGGCAGACTGAAGTTTTCAACTGAAGAACAAATTTAGCCAAAAAGCAGTATCAAGTTATTTCTACCCCCATGCCCCTGAATTAAATTTTCATAGTCTCTGATTCTCTTTGTTATATTCTTAACCATTTGGATTCTATTCAGTGTGTCTGTGTTTGTCCTTTTCC